GTTGCCGCTGTCGATCTTGCCAAATGTGGTCTTGGACGGGCGTCGTTGCCTTAAGGGTAATCTTGTTTGAGAGGCATTGAGGAGCTGATGCGGTGCATCATCATGTGGGGTATCCATTTCCGGAACACAGGTGATGACCTGCGAGATGTAGAGATGTACTTGAGTTGTAGGTGAGGAGCGTGGGAATTAATTTTGCGAATTGTGAGATGGTCCTCTCGGCAACCATGATTAGGGTCATAGTTGCGAGAACCCATCAGGGTTCAAGTTTCCACGCTGCGGGGCGTGGAAACTCGGACGGGGGGTTCCCCAGGCGTGTTACTGCTCAACACGTACCGGTACCGGTACTACGATGATGGTTCCTCGGGTTCTACATGCTCTGGATTGCAAACGCGGCGGCTTAATCATCCGTCACCACAATGAAATCCGCAAGGAACTTGGTTCTATTGCGTGTGAATGCTTTAGTTCCTCTAGCGTCCAGTCAGAACCACCCCTTCCATCTGTTCCCGCCCCTACTATCCCTGCCGGTCACCAAATTTCTAGTACATTACCTCCCCTTCCTCCCCGCCTCTCAATCCCCCTCCAGCCTCCGATCTCTTACGTGGTGATCTTTCCATTCGCGGCTTGTTTGAACGTGATACTACAGCTATTATTGACGTACGTGTCACTGATTTGGACTGTGCCTCTTACCGAAACAAAGATCCTGTCAAAGTTTTAACCCAACAAGAACGCGACAAAATTTCCAAATATAAAGAAGCGTGCGACTCCAATCGCGCTTCCTTCCATCCCTTTGTTGTTTCAGTGGATGGGATGCTTGCCCCCCAGGCCAAGACTCTCTTACAACGCCTTGCTTCTGCTACTGCCTCCAAAACTCAATTTTCCTACTCTCAAATGATGTTCTTCATGCACAGACCCATATCTCCATTGCCCTTGTGAAAGCTACCCATTTATGTCTCCGTGGATCCTGCAAAGCCAAACCCTTTGCCCCCTGGACCGTCCGACGGTTTTTGCTCAGGTTTTAAAAAACTGCTCAAATCGTGGTTCTGGTTAAGGGAATGTTAAGGGAATGTTGAAGCTTTAAGGGAATGTTAAGGGAATGTTGAGGATTTAAGGGAATGTTTTAAGGGAATGTTTATTTAAGGGAATGTATATTTGAGATAAGGGAATGTTCTATTGGGTTTACATGAAGTCTTAGAGGAATGTTTCGAAGCCTTAAGGGAATGTTGTTAAGGGAATGTTGATTTAAGGGAATGTTAAGGGAATGTTGAGGATTTAAGGGATTGTTTTAAGGGAATGTTTAAGGGAATGTTTCCACTGCGATATTTTAAAGTTTTTTTAAAACCTGAGCGAAAACCGTCGGACGGTCCTGTAATGGTCCTCCATTTCTTGCCCCTGATCTCACAGAACCTAGTCCTGAATTTCGACTGTTCTTTGCTTAAGCCTGGCCCCGGCTGGAGCGTGCCTCAGTGGGTGCGAATGGGGAACCCAGGATTTAGGGCAGGATTCGCTGTAGGGCAGAGTTTGAACTCTGCCCTAATTTAGGGCAGAGTTTGAAATTTAGGGCAGAGTTTCAAACTCTGCCCTAAATCGAAACGGGACTGCATAGTAAATACTATGAAACTCTGCCCTAAATGAGGGCAGAGTTTCAAACTCTGCCCTAATTATAGGGTAGGAAACTCTACCCAAAATTAGGGCAGAGTTTGAAATTTAGGGCAGAGTTTCAAAACTCTGCCCTAATTATTAAACACAACCACAGGCACGATTGAGCAACACTCCTGGCTTCCATTGATAATTTCCCTACTAGTACTCTAAAAAAACCCCGTTATCTCTTGGTTCCTCATGGTTGCTTTTGTTTCGTGCTTGTGGTCGGCGCGGCCGGCTAGCCTCAGTCCTTTTCGTGACTGTTTATTTATGCACGTCTGAATGGAAGCTAAGTGAGACCTGATGCCATGGCAACACCTCGGACGGTGATCTCGTACACCATTAATTTTCGTCCTGCAGGACGCAGCATCAAACTAGCAAATAGCAAAGTGAGGAAGGATGACAGAGGAAAGCAAAGAAGCACAGATCGAGCTCAGCCCAATAGAGCAGCTACCACCATCTCTATTTTGCGAAATCGCCAAATACTTGGTGGTGGTGGAGTATGACGACGAGAACGAGAAGTGCGACCCAAGATGGCGGCCATTCCTTTGTCGTGTCCGTCTCAAGAGAGGGTACGCTTTGGCCGTCTGCTCTCGCCGTTGCAATGAATTATTCGAAGAATCGGCCAAGAACTTTGTTGGTTTCTACCTGCCAAAGAACTATTTCTTACCACACGTTCCCATAGACGAGGAATCATCATCTCATCTGGCCAGATTTTACCATATCAAAGGGCTGGAAGTAAAGTTTCGCTACGCAAGTAAATGCCTTCAAGATTTCATGGGCACTACTGCTGTCAAGGAGAGGGGCAGACAAAACATACAGCTAGAAACGGATCTTATACGACACGCCGAGCGCGTACTGTCTGGGCCGCTTGTCCATAACTATGCGTGTGGGGTTTTGCTCGATTGTACAAGGGCATGTGCGAGATCGTTGCATGTTCCTAACAGCGGAGAAATTCAGCCAGATCCCAAAGTGGCTGAAGCAGCTGCAGTTGCCTTGGACAAGATTGTTACTCTCAGAAGACTTCTCGCTGCAGCAGGGGGTTGTGTTGGTTCCCATTACGCAAGAAGCCCATTATATCCCTTGTCTCTGCTGTACTTTGCATGGCTCAAGGCCACAAAACCCAACTATGCCAAGGCGGAACAAGCACTGCTGGAACTCCTGCGGGAATTGGCTGATCCTGCCGCCCCAAAAACCGCTATTGTCCAGGACACCCAATTAAAAGCCTTCCGCACTCTGTTTCGTCTCTACATGAAGTCACGAAGACTTGATGATTGCTTTGATTTGATGCAAAGAGCGCGAATGGAAACAAAAGGCTTGGATCCGGTGCATATATGGACGTGCACTGGTATTGTGGCGGATTACGCCAGCCAGTTGGGTCTCGCTCGTTCCATCACTTTTGTCTCCGAAGCAGTTGATGAGCTGAATTGTGTCCAACTGCCATCTGAAGAGCTGCGATGGAGAACACGGTATAACGCAGCTGATTGGCACAGATATAGGCAAGGCTGTTCTACCCGATTGAGAGAGTTGCGAGATCGTCAGGGCTGGGGGGAAGCTTGAAGTATCTGCGGATTCCAGCGTAGAACACATGTAGCGCATTCTAAATAGTGGGTATCAGTAAAGGCATGTTCGTGTCTTCCCTTTGAACGATAATATTGTGTCCCTGCCTTCTATGCGTTACCGGCATGGGTATGGTGAAGTGATCCCCCAACCCAACCCAACTCCAATTTCATGCCTTTCGTCAATGTGAAACTTCATAATATCGAATCTTGGATGTTCAGTTTCAGGAACACTTTCCCTCCACCACTACCGCCCCTCAAACTTGACTGGTCCACGCAGAAATTATTTTTCTGGAGACTTGCAAACATGGCCGGGAACTTGTCCGGGAATGTGGATATGGAAACAGTTGAAAACCCATGATTTTTTGCATGTTGAATGGTTGCTTGTAGCATAGCCTTCCAGTGACCATTTCTTCTCGCTCCTTTCAGAACACCGACCAGCCATATATGCCAACAATCGTCTTTAGTGGTCGGCGATGATTTTGGATAAGACAAGCAAAATCCTCCTGCAGTTCCGTCTTGACTGTACGATATCAGCAGGAGGCCACTTTCTGCCCGCTCTCGCCATACATTGCGGTCCATGAATCTGCTGGAGCTTGCCTTTGATTCCTGCTCGTCATATGATTCATCTCCAGAGAAGAAGACTGACCGATTGAGCTCCAAGCCAACGGGGACCAACTGGGCCCCACTCTCCAGACGACATTCTGGTGTTGGCTCTGTCATGATGTTTGTCATGGTGATCATGTTGCAATGACGGTCCCCTCTGATCTCTGATGAAGAGAATCGAATCTGGATCGAGTTGATGTCTGGATGCATGTCTGGATGCAGTACATGTATCTTTTGGCTGACGTCACTGAACTTGAAGAATTCTGGGAATTGCGACGACCATGGCCAAAAGCCGTCACTCTGTTTTTCATCTCGCCCTCCTTTAGCACACTGTATCAAGTGCAGCGGGCACGCCCCTTCTCGTGCCTTGAGAGCGACAATGCATGAAGCCACTAAAATCGATGGATGGGCTGAGGAGGACTCGACTCGATCGTTGTTGCCATAGAGCAAATCTCTGGATATCGATGGCTTCATTGCAGTAACTTATCATTATTACAACAGGATGAGGTATTTCCCCTACGGATACCGGTACCTCGCTACGCTCCTCTTCCTTGGAAATTATACGACGGGGCTTTCGCTCAGCCGTCGTCAAGGATTGTGGAGATCCATATCCGGAAATAACTTGACTCGGTTTGCTGCAAAAGATAGCAATGACGGCAGTGACGAGGATATCCACACTTCCCTCTCTCGCCGCGAGCTTTTGCAGTGGGGCCCACTATTGGCAGCGGCACTATCCTCAGACATTGGTTTATCACCCGTATTTGACGATTATCCCAACCAAAATGCCAATGCCGCTGTTCCATCTGAACAAGCTGCCACTGTGATGCGGCAACAGGTTCCATTTTCATCCTTGAGGCAATACAAGTCCGTAACACTGAGCAATGGGCTGAGGGTGCTACTAGTAAATGATAAATCGGCTGTTCGAGGAGGAGTTGCCATCAAGGTTTCTGGAGGGGGGCAGTTCTCTGATCCTAAAGAGCTTCCTGGCTGTGCCCACTTGATGGAGCATATGGTTCTGTCATCAAAATCCTCTTCCAGGTTCCGCAAATCCTTGGACTTTGAAGAATGGCTAATTGACAAGGAGGGAGCCAGCAATGCCTTTACAGGCTATGAGCAAGTCTGTTTTCATTTCAACTTGCCGTCAACGCCAACTGTGTTGATGGAAGAAGCGTTGACTCGTTTTGCGTCTCACTTCAATGAAGCAGAAGTTAACAAAGTCTGTCGGAATGACGACGTGCTCAAGCGAGAAATTAGGAGAGTCAATGCTGAGCTTGACTTTGACAATGAATCAATACAATCCTTCTACCTTGTGAAGGGCATGATGAACCCAGAACATCCATATGCCAAATTTGCTCGTGGCAACATTGACACCTTGGAGAGAATGCCTAAAGAAGCGGGGATCAATGTTGGGAGTCGTTTGTTTGAATTCTTCAAAGAGTTTTACCAGCCGACAAACTCCTTTCTGGTTGTGGTAGGACCATATGAACTGAGCTCGATGGAACGATGGGTTTCGCCTTTTTCTAGTGCCTTGTCGCGACAGCCCTGGCAGTCAAGTGCTCCCAGGCTGTTTCCATCACCCCTAAAAGCCGACAGGAGGATGAGACAGATTTTGTTGTATCGACCCAAGGTGGATTCTCCCCTCAGAGAGGGCATTGAGACCTTGAGTATGCACTGGACTCTGGAGTTGGACTACACTGCTGACGCCGCTAATAGGTTTGGAAGCAATACTGTTACGGCAACTCAAGTCGGTTTTGTGATCTCTCAGATCCTGGGAAGGCGTGGGCCTGGCAGCCTTTACTACATCTTGTATCGACGAGGCTGGCTTCCAAATGGAATGCAGGGTCTTCCTAGAATATCGTTTCCCGTCGATGTCTCTGGCTTTCAACTGATGAAGTTGGACATCGGTCTGACTGTAGAAGGGTTTGTGAACAGAGCGGTGGTTGTCGCCGATGTCATTAGAACAATCAACACTGTATTTTCGGGGGCCGCAATGACCAAATTCTTGGTGTCACGAGAGATTCTATCTCAGTATGCTGTGGTGGCCCAGCTCCATGGTTTTGTCTTGGCTCCAAGACCCTCTGATGCAGGTACGTTGAAGGCCCATTGGAAACGCTATCAGGACACTACCATAGCTCTCACATGTGTCGTCACGACGGCTTCGTGATGGTCTCTATATCGCTTTTTCGTGCACCCCCAGTTGAACTAGCCGTAGATGGTCTCCCAGCCGCTTCGGGTCGGAAAGATGTGGATCCTTGCGAATGGAGCCGATTCCCTTTACCGTATGGACTTTCTGATCTCCTTGCTTTGCAAAAAGTTGTGAAAGAAACTCTTGTGAAAATGAGCGACCCCTCCAACGCCATCGTCATAACAACGGCAACTGACAAGTCTCTGAAAAAGGCGAAAGATACAAGGATCCTTGGTGAGACAGTTCCATTTGTAGCCCCGGCGAAATGGACCACAGCGCCATTGACACGGGCGAAGTGCTATAGAGATGACTTGTTTCAATTCACTGGAATCGTGGGGGAGCTATTTACAGCGAGCATTCAGGAAGATGAACTCCTTCCGCCACTGGTAAACAACCTGATACCACCGATGTTGCGTTCCCCTCGACTACCATTATCGCAAAAAGGAATCGACCTCAATGAAGGGCGAAACGAGAACTGGCGAGTTTTGACCAGCACTGCTTTTATCTTGCGTATTCCAACTATGGCGCCAGAGAAGTCGTGTCGCTGCGCGTTTGTATTTCAGTTGCTATCCCCTCGACCAGCAAGGGCCAACACGAGGCAGGCAGCCTACGCTGAGCTTTGGAAGGTGAGCATGAAGTTCAGTTTACCAGGGAACGATTGCAGGTTCAGTGTACCTCCTCAACCGCACCTCCCGCTATACGCAGATTTCTTTTGAAAAGGCTGTGGTCGACTTGGTGAGTATTGGAAGTTCGGTACATGCATTCTATTTGGTACAGTTTCAAGGGGCTAACGAAACAGTTATTGGGAACACAGGCAGAATTGGGGGCTCCTGCAGGGCTTGCATATGATATGAGCTTTAACAAATACGGCATGCGTCTTTGTTTTCTCGGAATCAGCCAGAACCTCCCTTCTTACAGCAGACGCTTCTGCCGCCGGTTAGTTCAACACCACAAAGACCTTTTGGCAGGTCCTGAGGTGCTGGACAAAGCAATTACTGAAACTGCAGTGTACAACGCTGGACGAAGACGCGGCCCCAGCGCGCTGCGCAAAAGGGAAATCGAAAGGGTCATCAGAGAAACCTCAGCTTACGAGGCTGCAACCGAGGTAATGTACCGATCTGTGGTTGTCTGTGCATTGTCAAAAAGCGAATCTAATAGCCTGCATCGTTTCTGTTCAACGAACAAGGCCATCGCCTTCTACAAATCTGTGAACGGTGGGTGCTGTTTCTCTCAAGGCGATCTCCTGCCATTCGAGGTATCTAGTCTCTTCAACGATCTTCAGAGCATATTCAATGGGGAGCTTGGCACGAAAGGAAAATCAGAAACGACAACTAGCATGCCAGTCGCAGACGACTTGGCCTACACACCCGTCTGGAAGCCTCGGTTCGGCTCATCGTGCTCAATCCCGGGAGTTCCGTTGCTTTCCGACGCTTGCGGCAGGGTTCCAAGATGAGGATGAAGGAATGCTCTTTCTAAAACAGAGCCTGTCTCAAGGGGCTACCTAGTATAACGGGTGATTTGAAGTTCGGGCTTCCTTCATCTCCTGGGCGTGACGCCTGATAATGCGTGCCAGCTCACGCATCAGAGCCGCATCTTGAGCCAACTCTACAGTCAATTCTTCCCTTTTCGTGCTATCCATCCTTGGGGCAGAGCATGGTGCTGCCGACACCCTTGGCAATTTGTCCACGGTTTCATCGCAAAGCAGCATCTGCTCATCAGGGTCGCTGCTCTTGGCAGGTGTGGATTGTTGCTGTTGCTCTTGTTGAGCAACCCTTCTTGCTCCCGCCTCTGCTTCCTTGACGCTGGTCATGACTTCTGCCAAGTCGAGTTCAACAGCAGCCAGCTGCGCCGATCCCACTAGATCGTAGTAAGAATACTCTCGACTGATTTCAATATCCGCACCACCAAGTAGACCAGCATCCTTTTTTCGTTGCAAGAGTTCTTGTCGCATAGCTTGAAAGGTCCCCAATACGTCTTGAGTTTCAATTGCCCACTTGTGCTCTAATTCTGTCTGAATGGCTCCTTGAGTCTTGGGCCTTGAGGACGATGGCGTCGAGAAGAAGTTTCGTGGAGCATGCGATGTCCCATGCGGAGACCTCCTTGAATCCACTTGATTGCGTCTTTCCAATATGGCTTCTTCGGTAGCCATGGCCCTTTCGACAGCTTCATTGACCCCCGGAGAACTTTCAGCCTTTCGTTTCTTGGACCCTAACGATGCCAGTCCAAAGGAGAGACTTGCACTGTCGATCCCTCCCGGCAGTCTCATGGGCACGGCGTAGTAGGATGGAGGTAGATCACCATCATCTTCTGGGGTAATTGTTTTGGCATTTGTGGCTGGAGTCTTGATTACAGCCGCCTTTGCTTTGGCTGCCTTCGCTCCAGCCTTTGATTTGGAGGTTTCAGAAGTCGCCAACCGCTGGGCATACAGGGTGAGTTTTTCTCTTTCAGGGTTTCCCTTGTAGTTATAACATTGTGCGCATTTGCAGTATTGTTTGCAGTAAATGCCAACTCCAAAACAATGACAGTACTTCTGTGGAGTCGAATTGTCCAGTGATTGATGATGATGATGAGAGTGATTGCAACAATAGAGCAACAAGAGCCATGCATTTTCATTTGCAAAGGTACATTGCCATAGTCTACGCACCTTTAAGCACCGAGATTTGGTGCAACTGCACGGTGCTTCTCGCTTGTTCTTGCCGCCCTCCTCCTCCTCCTTTTCGCTTATTGTTGTGTCCGCTTGGCCCGGTCGAAATGAGTTTCGATTTCTTTCGAGGCATATCAGAATGGCTTTATTTCTGAAATACTGATGATTGGAAGCTCCATCATTGAAGCAATCATTACAATCACAATAGGAACTGCAGTGTATGCCCGATGAAAAGCATTTGCAGTACAGCTGTGTTGTTTGATGAAGTCAAACATTGGCGTGGAGGTTTAACGGTGGTCAGCAGCGAACAAAGCTAGCTAGTCAGATTCCGGTACAATAGGTCCAACGACATACAACCCCAACAAAATATCAATTTACCTTGAGACAGCTTGATTTTTGGCACTGGCAAGACTTGACTCTCTCGGCTTGATCCCTGACACCACCAATGATTCTAGGAGGAAGAGGGACCACGATGGAGCTCTCCAATTGCCGGGTGCATTCTGTCTTGAAGAGTGCAGCATAGACACCCGCCAGTTCGGGTTGAATAGTGGACTCTACCACGCCTTCCTTGTTTTCGTCATTATTGTTGTCTTTGTCGTCCTTTTTGGTCTCGTTGTCGTAGGTGTAGTAGTCCGTCTTTGGAAACTGAATGCCATCGTCCTCGTCGTCACTTTCGCGAGACGCTTGGCGCAGTCGCTCTTTTCGATGATCAATATCACTGCCACCAGCAGCCTTCTTTTGCTGCTGTTGCTTAGGACTGACAGTGCTACCGGTAGCAGGAGCTTTTACAGAACTTGCTTGGCCAACTGATGGGGGCGCAGGATGCTTCTTTGGATCGGACATTGTTCGTCCTAGCTACTAGGGTCTTTCCTTCAATACTTTCTCTCCTAACTCCAAGACGACCAACCAGGAAACACCACTTCTCAGACTGATAGGTCAGGGAGAGAGAAAGCAACGACAAAGATCACAACAACAACAATGATCGAGGTTGGGGACACGGCGACGAGAACTTGCTTGAAGTGGGAAGTGGGGACGGCGATCGAGTTCGTGGCTATAGAGAGAAATAAAACCGCAGAGCTTCGATTTACGTTTAGGGTGCGATCTTTGAGTACAGTACTAGTACGGTATCTTTGACCTTCCGTTTGGATCTGCATCATCTCACATTCTCACCATGCGGCTGCACTCGATCATGAAAGGTCGTTGTGCCACATGTTGCTTTCTGCTTCTTGTGATTTTCCTGTTGGGCAGTTTTCCAACAGTCCATGCGAAGAAGCAAGACAGCAGCGATGAGAACGAAACTGAAGAACCGCCGTCTCGTTGGAAACCTTTGACCAAGGAACAACTGCAGGAAAAGGTACAGGAACACGCCGATCAGTTCCATAAGGATACTCAAGTGATACGGGATAAGGTCCATGAACATGCCGATCAGTTCCATAAAGATACTCAAGTGATACGAGATAAGGTCCATGAGCATACCGAACAGTTCCATAAGGATGCCCAAATTGTACGGGAAAAGGTCCACGAGCATGCCGAGCAGTTCAAAGAAGATGTTCAGGAACATGCCGAACATTTCAAGGAAGGAGTCAAGTCGATTCTTCCACCCGCACCCACCAACATATTTCAGGAAATACAAAATTTTGGAGAGCAATTTCAAAGTGACGTGCAACAAATTGGAGAGGACTTTTTCAAAGAAGTACAAACCATGCAGCGAGAATTCAAGAAACGACTCCTGAAGGACTTCTTTCAGCAGCGAGTGGGATGGGAGCGATTCCGCCATTCCATCAGAGATCATCTAGGATTATTGCTGGGCATTTGGGTGACCTTTCGTGGCCAGGTTCATCCCTGGTTGGCATCACCAGAAAATGGAGGAAGGGGCGGGGCATTGGCGTTGCAAATGGGACAATTTGTGTGGCATTTTTTGGATGCCAACACGGATTTGTTTCATTCTCCCTGGTCCCACGACGTACTTTCCCTTCTTGTGGCAAGTTCATTCTTCAAGTATGCTCAGCCAAAGAAAAATTCCAGAGTACTGAATTGCGTGCCTCATGCCTTGTTTGGTATCGCTCTGTTGCCTTTCTGGAGTGTGGTCGTCGAGGAATGGTTAGCTGCTGATCCATCATCTGCTCAGCAAGGCAGTGACATCCAGGCACCCTTCGCTGCAGTCCTGGCAGCTGTAGCTGTGCACATGTCGTATGTGAAGTATCTACAGGTACCAATTCCATTGGCATCTTCCTGTTTGGGTGGTGGAATCCTCGTCTATGACAGCGTCCGTGCCGAAGTGCGGGGCAACTACATCTACATGTTGGAAACAACTGCACATTTTCTTCTACCGACCGTCCACTTGGTGGGGAGGCTTTTGAAACTACTCCTACGGCCCGCTCGAGCAGTGTGGAAACGATGGCTCAAAGGCTTCTGGAACAATGTACTGTATCCAAAAGCCACAAAAAGTCTGGTTCGTCGGGTTATCACCACAATTCGCCGGGTTTGGAAAAAGGCCACGGCCCCAATGAACAAAGTGAAGGATATCCTCGCGGCAAACCCTGTGGTTCAAAAGTGCAATGAGCTTGCCATGCGATTCCGCAAAGCCTTTCGTCCAGTGTTAATTCCGTGGGGTATTGCCATGTGGGGAGTGGCTGTCCAAATGAACTACATTACAAACATTGGGGGTGTCTGGAAAGTGCTTCGCTTCAGCATGGATCCAATCTCGTTTCTAAAGGAAAGGCTCAAAGGATACTTCAGCCCAGATTCATACGCCCGAAAGGTAGTGATTAAAACCGCCCGTTCCATACCTCAGATGCTGGGAAAGTTGCTGCCAGCAACTGTTGACAATAATAAACTGGATCAAGGGCGGAATGCTGGGAAAGGTCGTAGCGGTGTCTCTGGGAATACCGGACGGTTCTCGAGGAAGAGATGATGAATCCGGTTGTGGTGGACGCTCTCTACACGTTCAAACGAACAAATCCAATAGATGGGCTATGATCAAGCACCATCGGCTTCTTCACGTCTTTCTTTGGATGCTTTGAAAGTTTTGAGACCCATTAGGTTCCATGCCAAGGGCTCTCGGCGGCCCTTCGTTTCGCGTCGCCCTGGTAGGATCGGAGTGAACGACCACAGTATCAATTATACTGTACAAAGGCCACGAACCATCAAAGTGACCAATCTGACAGCTATATACAGAGCTGGCAACTACAGACATCACGAAAATGAACTAATGGAATCTTTTTAATGTGACAAAAAGAGTATCCACAGTCTGACAAGAAGCAACATCAATCAGAGAGCTCATGAGTGCCAGGTACATACGGTCGGCTCGACCAATGTGGATTGCTCTTTGCAAACCTCTCGAGCCTGTGCCAGTTTTGCAGATTGAATCAAATCAGATCCAGCCCGAAAGATGTCACTTTTGATTTCCATGTCAGGGGCAGCGAGCTCTCACCTCTTGTGCAACGTCAAAAAACTAAAGCTCGCTAGCTCGCTAACTAGCTAACTAGGTCTCGACTTCATCTTCATATTCGTTGGTTGTCGGTACGAGAGGCGCAGGTCCCTTGTGTCCTTTTTCAGGTAGTTTGAAGGACGCCATGTTTGCATATCTTGTTTTGAGTGCTTCTAGCATGGCTTGTTCCATATCTTCCTGTGTTTGTGTCCCGCCCATTGTCGTTGGTAGAACCTCCTTGGTGAACTTGGCCTGAACTTGTTCTAGGTTTCCACTGAGTTGGATGCAATCCTTGATCTTTTTGTTGAGGAATGGCTTGACCAGGGCGTACTATATACAGTGTTGGAAGTGATGCGAGTTACAAACCATAGTGTATCGGTGAAGAAGAAAGCGAAGAAAAAAGCGCAAGCAGATTGGCTTTTGAGATTTGTCAAGGTTGTGATGATGGTGAATGATCACGTCACACGGGGAGTGATGATTGATATATCTTACCATTGCCTCGAATATCTTTGGAGGATGCAGCATAATCATGGCTTGGTATCTGACGGGATAGGCATCTTGATAAAGATGAGCTGCCCGTTTTTCCATTTCTAAACTAAAATTTTTCCATCCCAGGCCTTGTGCTTCGGTGAGCATGACCAATCCATTTCTCATGGCAGTAATATCTGGGTGACAGGCATCCAACAAATAGTAGAAGGAAGCCACGCAAGTCTTCCAATCTTCAGGCGTAGCAATGTTGACCGGTAGAAACGCCGAATAGTCCCAGGTGGACACATAATGACTTTCCTCTTTGGCATCGCCGTCTCCCTCCGTGCTTGTACTATTAATAGTACTGTGTTTTCCAAAGGCCATGTAGATACCGGGACAAATGGCCGAGAATCTCTGTATCATTTGCAAGGCGTCTTCGGCGTGGATTTCCGTCGCGGGTGGAATGTCATGTTCTTGGCGGAATGTGTCCAACCGCTGAATGCGCTTCAATGCCCGGTCCACTTTTTCCTTGGCAATAATGGCATGGTGAGCGTATTCAAAATCAGTAATCTTATTGGCAAGTTCCGAATCTTTACTGGCGAGAGCCTCCTTGATGGCATGAGCCCATTCAGTCTCTTGTTCTGTCAAGTCCATGCTCATGATACTCTTGTATGGCAGAACTGATCGATCTCTTTGATGAATGAAAGAGGGTTTCAGCGAAGATAGAAAACTGCAATGAGTCTTTTGCAGTGTTCAAATAGTCAACAGGAGCAGAAGATTATTGTGACACCAAGATGATTGTACCGGTGGACCTGCGAAGTCAAGTCGTTGTCGGAATGAACGAAGCGCCTTGAAAATCTTTGGCGAGGATGCGGTGAGTCCCGTGGACTCAACGGGTCTAAAAACGTATCTTTCGCTTTGGATCTTTTTCGCGGAGGCTTTTCGACGAAGCGACAGCAAGTCGATCATTGGCAACCACATGCCACCATGGCGACTGCTACTTCTAATAATGACAATGCTTCCGAACTATCACCACCGACAAGGATAATTCTCATTACATATGAGTTCACGTTCTCTACGTTCAGTGGCAACGGCATCTTGGCAATTTCTCTGGTGAAATCACTGGTTCGAAGGGGCTGTCATGTCACCGTTTGGTGTTGTCGGCCTCCTACGACATGTACCAATGACAACGATGGACAAGTCCCGGATCTGACCGAGGAAGAACTGGAGCGATTGACCATTGTGTCCACAACCATTTCCACTGCTGATAAATGGCGTCGCTTGGACGATGAGTCTGCCTGGGAGGAATTCGTGTGGTCCTCTCTGTCGGAATCTTCTCAAGCTACTCTGGCTCCATCATCATCATCAGCTGCTGCTGGTAGTACACATACGGCTGTTCTCGTCATTGATTGGACTGGTCATCACGCATTGAAGTCAACTCCTTTCCAAGACAGTAGCATCAGTCAGAATGGGATACCCTTGATCTACCTCAATTTCAGAGTCTACAGTTCGGGAGTCTCGTGCAATGTCAAACGAAAGTGGTATGATACAAGAGAGAAAAATGCCGTGCAAAATGCGGATTTGGTCGTGGCTCTCAGTGAAAAAGACAAGGCATCACTCACCAACATGATGATGATCAACAACAACAACAATCGTGAAAAATTACAAATATTGGTGCCGCCATTACGAGGCGACGTGGAAAAGCTGGCAAAACAGACCACCACACAACAATCCATTATTTGGAGTCACTTGCCTCCAGAAGCAAAAGAGGTATTCACCAACAATAACAACAATCAACCCAGAAAATGCTTCATTGCCTGTGTCGTCCGTCTTAGTCCAGAAAAGAATACAAGACGGTTTGTAGACTTTCTCAAAGCCACAAGAGCATTCTGGAAAGATCGAAACTGGATTCCACTCTTGGCTGGAGCAGCTTCCGACCCAACCTATGCCACGCTGGTCAAGCAGGAGCTCAGGGATGTTTGTGGTGATGGCTGTGTCATTGTGGATTCCTTTCTCTCGCCTGCTTCACTGGCAGCCGTGTTTGCATGTACCATTCTCAACTTTCACCCGTGCTCGTAAGTTCCTTTTTGATTTGAATCTAATCTTCCATCGCCTTGTTTGCTCGGTTGCATCTATTTCTAACAAGGTTTACATTCTATTATACTCAGCTACGATGCCTATGGCATGACCATCATGGAGGCAGCTGCCTTTGGAGTACCATCCGTTGTGGCAGAAGGAAATCATGTCGGTGCCACCATTCATGTCGGAAATGGAGCCTCCATTCAAGTCCCGATGAATGATTGTGATGATGATGATGATGGTATAGCAGAGCAAGCAGTGGAAACGATTGTAGCAACGCTCCGTGATACTGCCAAACTGGACGCAGTGGGAAAGCTGGCGCGGCAACGGGCACTAGCATGGGACGAGGACGCTTATGGAAGAGCTCTGCTGGACCACATCGCCAGTCTCAATAACTAGCTAGCAAGTGCAATTAATTGAGTATGGCTGCAATATAAAGTGCCCTGGTATTACCAGCTAGTAGTCCGCGTTACAATATTGTGCAAAAGATTCAATCAAGTTTATTTTCAAAGCACCTAGACCACAAGGGTTTGTTGTTTTCTGTTGGTTGTTTCAAAGTGGCAGAGATCCAAGCACCCAAACCGAGGCCGGACTAGCATCGCTGGCAACCCAGCTATTGGTAATCAAGTCGCCTCACATAGTTAGCAATCCATCGCACGAGGTAGCTCTGTTGGAGTAATTGCACTGCATCATTCAGTAGAGTTTTAATTAACCATGTCACACCAGTTCCTTATGCAATACCCAGGAGAAGTGCATAGGTAAATAGAGGAGTCGAGTCGCCTCATCGACATGGTGGAGAGCCGGAAGCCTCTCACTTGCCCATCACTCTCGAATGCACCTGCAGAGACCCAAGCAGATGGACGGTACTTTCAAACGGTGAAACAAACCTACGTCGTTGGACGCGCCAGACAATCTGTACAGCAGTTTGGTACCGGACATAGCACACCCCTTGCCCCATCGCTACAGTCCGTCGTAAACACAATCAACTCTTCCCGACGCAGATTGCAAACCTCTCTTGGAGCCCTTCCCGTCAGTAGATTGTCTTGCAATGTTAACGTATCCAAGGAACTTAGCCGACCAAGCTCCTTTGGGACGGTGCCATGGAGTCTATTGCCATGAAGCGACAAATGGAAGAGACCAGCAATGTTACCCAGTTGGGCAGGAATCGTGCCACTGAAGAGACAGTCGTGAAGACTGAGATAGGCTGATGCAGTAGTGGGTGGAGGACGGGGTAGGCAACAACAGTGAGGGTCGGTCAAAATTGAGAATGAGCGCCTTCACTTTGAGACTATCAAAACACCACAATGACTTACTCAGAGACGAAAACTGACCAAAGAAAGACGGAAGTCTACGGCGGAACTTATTATTGCTCAAATCCACGTGATTAAGGTTTGTCAATGTTTGCATTTCCCTGGGAAGTTCCCCACTCAGTTGTGTGTTGGCCATTTTGATGACTCTCAAATTGGTCAGGGTCCCCAACAACGATGGTATACGCGAGAGCATATTGGTGTTGGATATTGAGAACTTTTGGAGGCTTTGTAGGTTGGCGATCGTAGATGGTAAGCGCCCGGTGATTCTTGTGTTCCCTTCCAAGGTCAGCTCTTGTAGGTTGGAGAGTTGGAAGAGTTCGGAGGGAAGAGCGCCCTGAAATTGATTGAAACCGAGGTTGAGCTGTATCAGTCCAGTGGCCCCTCCAACCTCAGATGGGACTTCTTGCTTCAATTCGTTCATGTCGACGAGCAAGACTTCGAGATTAGATGCAGAAGCAATCTCGGGCGGAATGCTTCCAGTTATGCCGTTGAACGCAAGTTTTAGCTCCCTAATCTTTGGCATCAAGAACAGCCCGGAAGGTATTGTACCGGAGATGCTATTGCCGCGCAGTGACAAGCTTTCAAGACCACTGAGCAACGACAGTTCGTGCGATATCTGTGCGCAAAGAACGTGCTCGATTTTGAGTTCATCAGGTCCACAACACTGCAGAGAGAGAAACAGTTCGGAGGACTTACAGAGCCTTGCAGACCACTCCCATCAAGAACAATTTTGTTGACCAATCCCATGTCATCGCATTCAATCCCATTCCAGCCGCATGTATCTTCATCTTCTAGCCAACCATCATTGTCGACCCATTGTTGACCCCTCATCTGGACATAGAAGCTAGCTAGCGCGTACTTTTGGATCAAGTCGCTTCTGTCTCGAGGGTAGGTAGTTGCAAGCCAGATCATGGCTTGATTTCTCGGATCACAGGACTCCTCAGGTAGCTCCCAAGCGTCCGAAATGTTCAAGGAAATAAACAGCATGTTGATGGAATAGTATTTCTCTCGAACCTCATTGGTGAGCATGGTAATTTCTCCGTCGCATTTGCACTGGCCTATCACGTGTGGAAGGGTGTAGTTCTCAAACCCACAGCCTGATTGATATGGGTCCATGCTTGTGGTTGGCCTCAAGCCAACAAAGTCACCCACTGATGTCGTCGTGTCTATTGTTTTGATCACATCGATGATACTGATTTGAGCTGCGCTTTGATGATCATTGCTGCGTACATAGTCAAGAATATACATGATCAAGTACGCAGCGGCACTCAGAACAAAGAGCGCCAAAAGAGCAATCAGAATTGCATATTTCCCCCTGTGCTTCCCTCCTTTACATTTCCCTGCTGAGTCGACGAATACTTCATCATGACCTTTTTCCGGATCTTCAGATCTCCCTGTTCCCTCCACCAAGGCAACTCTATCCCCTAAGTCATTGTTCTTGGCCTTTTGCTTCTTCTTTATGGGAGAGACGCTTGTAATCTTGTCAGCGTAGTTGGATTGGAGAACAGGACTGATATCACTCAGGTCATCTGGTGTAGTAAATGGTGCTGCACGTGACTTGAACGATTGAATGATCAGCGTTGCCGGAGGATCATTGTAGTACACTGCATTGGTCGAAGAATCACACGAGTATTTGGCTCGAATGGGGACGGGAGATATTCTCGGTGGCTCCTCGATCGGGAAGTCTTCTGAGGCAGCACGCGATGGTTCATCCATCGGGAAGTCAACATCACGAGTACCTCGACTTATCGCACTCGATTGGTTTTCTTTTGCTATCCTCGATTGTTGGTCCGCTACAATCCTGGCCACGGCAAGCTCTGCAAACTCCGCTAAATCCTGTTGTTGCTCCCGATTGTGCTCCTCTCCAGCTTTGTGTGAAGTGGAAGGATCAGGCTTTGAACCAGGTTTGGATTGAAGGGATTGAGACCGAAAAGTAACAAATGATGCGACCTGCTCGTCCCTGTAGTCTTCCTCGTACTCGTAACAGGACGTGCTGTCTTCCGACGAGTCGGGATCCGTGTTGCCAGCCGTCGCTGTCAATTCACTCGCAACTTCTACAGCCTCCATCTTGATTCATTCAGTGGTTGTCAAGAACGTTTGATGTCTGTTCGAATGAACTGAGCGCGAAGTAAGTGAGAGGATTTGAGATCGAGCTGGTCTTGGCAAGGATCCCGCAAGGAAACAGCGAAAATTTGGCTAAATTATAAAGGGAGGAGAAAAAGATCCAACTCCTGCGCGCACGGCGAGATATACCTCGATCCTTACTCCAGAACAGACACGAATGACGACAACAACCGGAACCCTCCTCAAACGGCCACTTTTCAACTCTGGCTTTTGCTTTCAGCACAAGCATTGCTTTCCTTTGTTGCTTCTCTTGGCATTGTTTTTGTTGACGATGGCGTCCACAGTCAAAGCAGCAAGTAGCAGCAATCGTCTCGATGTCGAGGCCGGGAGGTCCAATGTGAGCGGCATAGTCCTTCACGTGGGTGGTCCAACGAGCAAAGACGCCACTGCAAACGAAGTGGCCGCGGACATGGCTCCACGACGAAAAGGTCAACGAGCCATTTGGATTCTGTCCTTCACCTACGTCTTGCTAGTTCTTTCATTGTTTATCGTTCCACGACAAGTATCCAAGAACTCAAATGACGGCTTCGCTGGTTTGGCCAATGGTCTACTCCTGATTTTCACTTTCGGCGCGTCGTCTCTCATCATCGCCACCGCTGCTTTGATTTTTACTCTCCGACGCTGGGATCAAGTTTCAAACTGCACAAGGGTTGCTGGATTGTTTCCTGCAATTGCATCTGTGGCGATTGTCATTGTACTCACCATCATCATAGCTCTTGACAATGACAATGGAGAAGACGGAGACGTTGCAGTCCCTCTTTGCCCTGCTGGAAACGAGACATGCCTTACGCCAAAGAACCAAACCTTTGAAACCGATGAAGTCATTTCTTCGGACAACTTGTAATTGCGGTCAAGCAACAATCGACTCCATACAGTCTTTCGTCGGAGTCGGGAATATTCACAAGCTGTAAAGTCGAGTCGAAATGGGGGGAATCAAAAGACTGTCACTCAACGACGGAGTCATTCATCACGCGACTACAAGGCAATCGACTACCGGTACAATGCAATCAACGAGAGCAGATTTATGGAATGACGGATCCAATCTCGCCCCAACAGGAGAAATCTTAATATTTCATAGCAATGCTGAACTCGATTTCTTTCCTTTCAAGGTGACTTCGTAATTGTACGGTAGCGAACAAGATTTAGACAGAAAGCAAGTTACCAGTAGTCACCATTGCACAGGGATCGTGGCTGCTGATGCAAACTCTTTCTGCCGATGCCACTCAATAAGTGGTGGTTCCTTCTCAGAGACTTGCTACGGCAGATAGGATTGAATCACCCACTGTCGTTGTTGGAACTTTCCTTCTTTCCGTCCAGCGAAAAGTAATGCACTCGCTAGCAATTCCCTAGCCAACCAGTAGTCCCACCGCCATGAAGCCTGGATGTTCCACTTGGTGAAAGAAGTTGCAGAGCGGCGCACCAGCGATGTTAGGGTAGCTCAAGCACTTCAAAAGCCAATGCTTGTAATGCTCGTGTGGTAACAGGAAATCAATGCAAAGAACTATACTACAAAAGTTTTCGGAGAAAAAGCACGTTTACTATGTAGTAGTACTTATGCCATTCATGAACAAGGGCGGTCCAAAGGACGCACCAAAGGTTCTGGTACATCTACTATATGCAAGACGGAGCAGGTAGACTCTTAGTTGGGGAAGAAGTTTTCAACATTTCCGAGCTTGTCGTGGACCATAAGTCCCAACAAACCCATTTGTGCAGCACGTCCTTGGTTAATTTCAAGAGCACGCTTGGTAAGCTTGGTCTCCTCATCGAAAGAGTCCCAGCCGAAGTCAAGGGCTCCATTTCGGAAATCACCAACGTGTTCGTTTCCGGTTCCTTCAATGTCCTTCATGACAGCAAGCTCCAAAAGACCAACGAAGGCCAAGACTTGGAGGGCACCGGCAACTGGGACAGCGAAGGAAGCATCCCATCCGTATCCGAGGTCGGAGAACTTGGTTCCAGAGTAGTCAATGTCACCGGGAAGGTAGACTCCGGCGGCATTGAGGAGGTATCCAACAACTCCCAACATACAGATACGTCCGTGCTTGATCTCAACATAACGGAGACGGTCGAACTTTTCTTGGTCACCGTCGGCAACCATACCGAGGGGATCAAAGAATCCAAGAGGAGCTTGGGCACCAAGTTCGTCTTCGAAGGCCATGTTGGTGGCGACCGAAGTCTTGGCGGCGTTCTTTGCGGGAGCAAAGGCGGCGGCAGTGGCGATAAGGGATGCGATGATGGCGGTCTTCATTTTGATTATTGTTTGTGTTGACGAATCAAGGAAATTGTGAGCTGTATGGTTGCTTCCTGGATTGTCCACCTCTGCTCCGTTGCTTGAAGACTATGGATCTTTTGGCTCCAGTACTGAAACACGTAGGATCCAACGTTGAAGCCCAACAGTGATCGAAAGATTTGGCCCTCGTGGCATGAAAATCTTCAAGCTCGCTCTCGGAACGGAACCGCCGCCTCGAACAGCGAAAAATCCATTTGCCCCACGAGAAGGCACCAACTGCCACATGGCTTCTATTGGTAGGGTTCTTCCAATCAAATAGCGCTGGGGCCATGTGGCAATTTCTCGCCGCGATGACGCTGTTGGTAGGAGATCCCAGTCAAGAGGCAGCATCTGGCGAAAGACACGCCATCGACATTGGAGTTGGATACTTCGGTTTGGATCAAGACACCTTGTTAGCTGACGCTGCAAGATATCCAGCTTGCTGTTCTGTCGAAGAGATTCGATTCATAGAGAGGCCTTCTATGTCATGGCACCGGGTTTCTTTTTTTTGAGCATACGTGGCTTTAGAGCCAGCTGCAGTTGGTGGAGCGGCGCCCTGTCTCCGACACGATCCTTGGCTCCCTCTATTGAAGTGTTACCGGTAGGCTGCACATTCCTGGCTACTCTAGAGATAGATACATATGACATACATGATACCGGTAGGTGCTATTGGTCGGCCCTCGCCTCCCATTCGAACTAGCTACATGTAGCTTAGTGCGTTGACTCTGACTTTAGGTTTTGCGAGTCCGAGGGTAGGCTCGAGCGTGAAGACTTGCGTTGGATTTTAATTTATAGCTGAGTGCTGTTCGATGGGATTAGTCTACTTGACTTTACTGCATGTAGCCTAGAAGAACAAGTAACTTTCATGATCCAATTCCGCACATGCAAACAAACTACATGTCCTAGCTAGTTATCTTTTGTGTGAAACTGTCGAACTAAAGTCTACTCTATTGGGCATAGTCTATACGGTGTTACTCTAGCTAGTAGGGCAGCAGCAAAAGCTTTCTTTTTTCATGGCGCTGGTACGGTACAATGGTAGGATCATCCTTCTAGCTAGCTAGCGATGTACATACGGTACCAGGTAGCTATGATAGTTGCTGGTACCAGTTTCGATACCGTGGGGGGCAAAGAGAGAGGTAAAAACACGTAAAGTTGGGGATTTGGGAACAGGGGCAATTGAGATGTCACAGGTGCAATGTACAACAAAAAGCATAGTAAAAAATGCTCACCCCTGTACTCCAAAAACCTGAAACCACCCCCACTATTTTGAATGCAGGTCTCGGATTTTCATACAGCTTCCGTGCTTTGACTGAGTGCTAGCCTCAACAACAGAGCCACCAACCACCTCCGACAGGCTTCCAATGCTGGTATCTCCTTGTCAAGTCAATAACTTTGGACCCGCTTCAGGCATTATCTCAAGCATACCCGTCAGCACACCTGGGCCGACGGAGGTCCACTCTGGTGATAGTTTGCCATTGCATCTCTGCCATGTTTTCCATCGAGGTAGCTGTGTTTCTGCGTCTCGTCAAAGAGAGGCATCTGCTGTTGATGAACGCTTGGGTTCCTCTTGATTTCATGGCCCGTCAAGTAGATGAAGAGATTGACAATGAAGATTCCCCCGTAAACACCAGAACCCTGAGAAGAGAGCTGCGAAAGGCCAGTCTTCTGGGCCGTCCCTTCGTTGAGACGGACGATCCAAGCCTCCGAAACATTGTCAAGATCTTCACCACAAACAAGAAAGTCTTCCATCGAAAAGAGTCAGTGATTGGAACAAAAGATGGGAAAAAGAAAAAGGACTTTGTGTACGTACAAGAAAGAGGCAAAGCACCCTTCGAGTGGCCTGCAACGGAACAACGCATCACAAAACACTTCCAGGATCAATATGACTTCTTTGGTCGCCGAATTGTCTTGAATATCCAGCCAACAGCGGAGCAGACGACAACATGCAATCAACAAGCACGGCCTCGTGCGGTTACTCCAACCGAGACTGAAGCAATCCTCCAGCCTTGCAACCGCGATATCCGAGCGCTGTTTGACGGAATCTTGGACGACAAAGCCCTCGCACGGCTTGACATCGATGAACGATCTGTTGCCTTGCTCCGAAATCGTGTAAAAGATTTGAGCCATGATCTCCATAAAGCAGCTGTTAAGGATAGATACAATTCTAGTGAGAGAGACAACATTGTGCAATACCAGAAGAAGGACATAGCAACGCTAGACGAAGACTTGTATCCAACACTTACCCATCAGTTTGGTGTTCCACTCTCGATTGATGCTTTTAAAGCCCTTGGATCTGCAGTCGGAATGGTGGCTCATGATGTGCCAGAGGCGTTAGATTGCTTCCTCGACAGCACCGGATACAAGTCGTCGAAACAATCAACGTCGAATGACGGATTAATGAAAGCAACCGTCCCTTCAAGCAATGCGGCAAGACTCTACGCGAACGCAAAGAATTGGATGCCAACGGCACTTCAAGCTGCCATTCGAGAGGATTCGGAGCTGACAAGGAAAGATGCCGTGGTGGCGTTTGCGAAAGTCCTGTGGACTGTCGACAAAGGAGCGTTTAGTGAGGTGTGCTCGTTGAAGTGGAAAGAAACTGCAAAGAAGATTGATCCATACCATCAGAAGGCTCTTCGGTTTGAGTCTGGTATGTCTGATCGCCAGTTTGAGATTGTCCGGAAGTATACCATCCATGCGCTGAACAGAAACTTTTGGCAGCCAGTAGAGAAAGTAAGAGCTCTGGACAGTGAGTGTTTTCCACCATTCCGTATCAAGTTCAGAGATAACCATCGAAACAGAGTTTGTTGGTACAGACCAATCGACAAAGCGTTCAAGTGGTTGATCAACAAAGATCTTACCAGCACTGGACCAACGGTATTGAACCGTACCGACGTGAGCCAAATCAAGGAGTGCCACATCCTCCTTGGCGGAGATCACGGTCAAGGAGCTTTCCATGTGGTGGTAACAGTGCTGTTGTTTTTCAAGAATTCCAGTCTCGCTTTTCAAGGGGACATCCTCTGTGGACACATCGATTGCCAAAAAGACACCTACGCAGTTCTTGAGCGAACCATTACAGATCCCTTGAACAACTCCCTGAATAGAATTGGAAACGAGTTAGCTTTCTGTCAGGCTCCTGATGGCAGTCTCTACGTTGCTTGGGGCTCAAACTCACCAGATGTCAGGGCCTATCGTGGAGTGGTGATTCATTCCGTGAAGGTGGAATCGTTTGTTGTCGGAGACTGTGCTTTTCTCGTCCTTTCGCAAGGAAGAGAAAGCTGTTCGTCATATTGGTGTCCATACTGTCAGTGGGGATGGCATGAATGGCAGACGAAGAAGCTGAATGGCTGCAGTTGTAAAAAAGGCAAGCGATGGACACTCGAATCAATGGAAGAATGTCGACACGTATGGCAAATCCAAAAGGAGCTTGGGCCAGCACCAACCAAAGCAATGATCAAGGGGACGAAAGAGGAACCTCTCTTTGATGTAAAGCTTGAGAATTATCTCGTTGGGCCTCTTCACGTCTTGGACCTTTTTGTCAATCCAGCCAAAGGATTGCTCGAAGACTTCGTCTGGTGGCGAGCGGAGGTGATCTCTGATGGACTTAAGGTTGCACGGTTAACCGAGGCGACCAGAAAGATTGCTTTCCAAGCAGCGACAGAGGCAGCAACAAAGGCAAAGCAGATCCTTGATCAAGCCATAGCCTCCAATAGCCCTCGTTTGATTGCGCAAGAGACAGGCCGCTTCAAAGAGGCTGAAGAAAGGCAGCCAAAAAAGCTGCTTCCGATGCTGCAGCACAAGCAAGGGCTCTGGAAAGGAAGAAAGAAAATGGAGCCATCCACCAACCAATCCGGCAACAATTGGATGGCTTGCTGGCTGATGAATTCCATATTCTTCGGTCTTCGTATCATGGCGGAGATATGGAAGGCAACTACTGTCGAAAGCTGCTTCGACAAGCGGACAAAGTAATGGCCGCCGTGACCAATCGGTTGTTGGACATTCCGCGTGCGGAAAGGGCAGCGAGTGATGAAGAAATCCAGAAATATTGCGCCGCGTACACTCGTCTGTTTCAGTACATGGATGTCCTTTCCCACTACTGCTACCAGCCCTATGGCTCGATCACCGATGAGCAAATGTTGGAGGTTTGGTCCGTGATCTCCAAATTGGATCGATTGTGGCGAAAGTTATCGGTCAACACGCCTCCGAAGGTTCATAGTTGGCAGCACCTTGGAGATAACTTGGAGAGACTTCGTGGGATGCTGTATCATCAGGAGTCGAAGATTGAGGTGGCTCATCAAGTTGGCAAAGCGACCGATCTGCGTTTCCGAGCGCTTGGCGGCAATATCGAACGAAAGATTGCTTGTTCTCTCCAATATCAAGCGAACCTTGCTGATCCGCAGGTCAAATCAGCTCAAGAGGAGGTCAGGGCTGCAAGAGCAAGGAATTTTAGTGAAGATTCCAAGCGGAAGAGACAGGACCAGGCAGAAAGCAAGAAAAAAGTCCGGACTCAATGCCTCCACGATATTGTTGAAGCCGAAGAATTGGAGGGAGAATACTCCTCAATGATTGAACTGCTGATGGCCGATCAGCGTCAAGCTACTAGCAGTGGCACTACAGCGGCGGTAGGTGGTGATTAACTTGCTCCAGGGCCGCTCATAGCCGACAAACTCATCATCGTGGAACTACTATTGATCGATTATTTATTTGTGTGGGATTGTCAATTTCAGGCCAGAAGCCGGCCAAAACTGAGAACACATCATCGTCACCGAGGCCTCCAATAGAATGACAAGCATCAAGTCCATCGTATTCGACACAATAGTGGCCATTGTGGCCTATTCTAAGCAACAACAGAACAGATACAATGATATAAGAAGCTATAGTAGACTTGATTATGCCAGTTTGGAGACTGGAGGCATCAGATATAGGATTGCCCATTCACATCCTCCGTTCCAACAGATTCGAACGTAAACTCACTCTCTCCACTTGGACGTCCACCGCCACAAGCACTACTGCCAGGAGTAACAAGATTAACAATGCCACTAGCAGACTCTTCTTGATCATTGGAGGTAAACGATGCCTCCAATTCGGAAAGCACACTCCTCATTCCCGCGGGCAGAGTGTGGCGACGGGGGACCACAGTGACAGTGCGAGAAGGTGCAGTATGAAACTTGGAGTGCTTGCAGGCCAATACAACAAGAATTTCAGCATTGTAGATTGTCTTGATAATGAGAGACTTTTGATCCGTTTTGGCGAAGACTTCTTGGATTTCGTCGTTTCCGTCCAAGAAGTTATGGAGAACGACCGCTTGCTGTTCATTCAGCATGGAGCCATTCTTGAATGTCCAAACCAACGCTTCATCCTCTCCAGTCTGTTTCGAGTGGAAGATGCAGCGATTAATCCGCTGGCAGTGGTTCAAAAGGTCCTCCGATTTCAGACCTTTCAACTCTTCCAATGCTGGCCGCTTTAACGAAAAGCAATACATTGACCCGGAGGCATTCTTGGATATGTAGCAATCAGGCATGATTTCAGCTTATCTCCTCCAAAGCTCTGTCTAAATTCTGTCAGAGGAGAGATGACTTCAATCGAAGTCGCGGCCAAAATCCGAGCGGGGACGATAACATGTGTTGAATTTTTGCTTCGTTCAAATGTCATGTTGGTCAAGCCAGACGAGTTCTATCCAACACAGGATCTGAACTCAAGCCCTTCTGATAGAGTCAGTTGGAGATGACGAAATAACACAATCCAATGATCATTTTGTGTGCTGTAAAGCACTTGATGAGTGCTTTACAAGGCTTGTAATGGCTTGTAATGGCTTGTAATGGCTTGTAATGGCTTGTAATGGCTTGTAATGAGTAAATAAATAAGTGCTTTACTGTTGCTGCAATCCGTTTCAAGGTTAAATCCTTTTGATGTCGCAGAGTGACTGTGACTGGGATTCATTTACTTAGGGGACGAAATGGTGGCTAGCAGCCAAATTAACGTGAAAGAGAGGGAAAGCAAGATTTACACCTTCGCGTTTTAGAAGCCATCAAAGCAGGTTCATTCGTGGCCATTAATCAGGTACAAGATCGAAGCTTCTGGACCATGCGGCAATCAATCTCCAGCGGAATTGTGAGGGGAGACCGTTTTGGAGATTATCAAAATTTAGGAGATCAAAATTTGAAATTAGGAGACCGTTTTGGAGATATCAAAATTTAGAGACCGTTTGGAGAGCAAAATTAGGAGATTTGTTAGTTGGAATTGGAGATTGAATAGGAGATCAAAACTCAAATTAGGAGACTGTTTAGGAAATTATCGAAATTTAGGAGACTGTAATTTGAAATTAGGAGACCGTTTTGGAGATTATCAAAATTTAGGAGACTGTTCCTCACTTTTTACCTTTTTGCCGCATGGTCCTGCCGAAGCTGCTGCCAATGCCCCAAGCATCCACCAACACGATCTATTACTGGTACCAGGTACCAACACGATGGCTCCATGAACGCATCAATCCGTCCAATTCGTCCAGGGAGACAATGATCACCAATGGAAGCCTTTACCGCCCCTGAAGGACTGAAGGCCGCCTCATCAATTGCTACATTTGAAAGCACCACAACCAGAATTTTTCAACAAGACCTTCGAGCGCAGCTTTCCAGATTGGTTGCGTCACGTCAGGTCCACCATGATAATGCCGTAAACCATTACAATTCACCTGAGGTGGTCAAAGCACTGTCGTTGGGGTTTGAATGGACCGTCCAGTGCAGCTATCATGACAAAAATCAGGTTCAGGATTCTGATTTGGCAGCTTTGACCGATCAAGATCTTTCTGCGACACCCTTGAATGAACTAATGAAACTCCTTGCAGATCCCTGCGTTATACCCCTTGTGCTTTCTCCTTGCATTCTGCAAACACTGGTCCAGGTAATCTTGACATTCAGACCATCCAGTAACGCTACTATGAGTTGCAAGAGGAGAAAAACAGCCGAACGTCCAGTCGCATCCCAAAGGGCAAATGAAATCGATCATTGGATAGAAGTGAATGAATACCTATACTACCGATCTCGCTGGTCGCCTTCGCAGCTGCTGTTGCTGCAATCCGTGATAAGAATCATGGTGGCAAGACAATGCTGCGATGACTTGGGATCCATCATTCTGACTGTCTTTCAAGAACAGTGGAGTGGCCCTCCGCCACTGCAAGGTGCTCAGTCTCTGCTATCATTCATAAAATATTGTGTCAAACAATTGGAGGGAGTTGGGAGAAAGGGATACTCTCCAGTTCCTTCCTTATTCCCTTGCCTCTGGACTCTTGTTCAGACCATCCTTTCGCCTGAAAATAATCTTATTGTGCAAGACCGGAGCGACTGCAACATCATCATGTGCTCATCCTGTGGAAAGTACATAGACTTTTCTTTCCTAACGGCAGCTCAAGGGAGACGGAAAAGACAACGCATGGATGTCTCATCATTGCAAGGTGAACATCCTGGTGATCCACTACTAGGCTTCGCAACTTCGCCACCTGCGCGAGTGTTGCAACACCGGGCGCGTCAGCCACTAGTGAGTTTGAAGTCCATCATGGAAGCAAGGGAAAGTAGCGACCCGTCCTGCCCGTATTGTCAGTCGAAGATTACTCTACCAGATGCTACAGACACAAAAGAGACCAAGGATTGGTGTCGACTTCGCGACAAATCGATCCATACCATGATTCGATGGTTTCAATCAACGATTCAAGCTTCAAAATACAAGGCGTTTGGTGTACTGAGAGACACATTGACAACGACATCCGTTGATAGTCCCTTCCTTAGGCTATGCACCTTGCAGTTGGCAAATATAGCTGGAAGGGACGGCTATGGGTACCTTCTCTTGTCGTTATGGAATCTTACCTGGCAACTCGCCAATCCAAAGTTCTTGGCATGGTATGCAGAAGTCATTGTCGAGTCGTCCTTTTGCGATAACCGAGAATCTTGTTGGGATGCCATGCAACCTCTGATCAACAGCATTCGGAGCAGATACATAACGGCAGAGGATCCACAGGTTACAGGCAACAACGATTTACCCAGCAAACTTTTGATTCCTTGTCTGGAATACATCATAGCACGAAGAAGGAATATCTTTCGGGTGGTCGATGATTCCATAAAGGACGAGTTTCATGCATTCATCCAAGCACTTTCCCCATTTGTTGCTGACTCGACAGATTCGAATCATTCTACCGCTGCTAATCTTAAATCAGACGACAAACCAGTAGTACACGCGCGAGAGAGTGAGGATGAAGACACCACATCCACCTCGGCGAGCAAATCGGAACCTCGATGGGTGGATCCGGAGCCGCTGGATCTACATCTGGCTCTCCAAAGAGTGCGGTGGTCCCCATATGGTTATGCAGAGAGCTGCAGGATCCATAAACTGGACCCCAAGCTCCTCTCAAATCCAGACCACGACAAAGGGCTAGGCATTGCAAAAGAAGCGGATAACCAATCACAGAGAAAGTGCCCACCAATCATGCAATGTCTGAGTGATGATGTTATGAGAACAGTGCTCTCTTTTCTTGGCTACAAGAAGCTGGTAAGAGTTCGCTATGTCTCAAAAGCCTGGAAAGAGATGGCGGATGATGATCGATATTGGTTCCCGCTCTACCGTAGTAGATTTGGGCTCCGTCACGATGGCTCTCATGGGTTGCGCGCAGACGGTTCGTTCGCAAGAGGACAAGATCAAACCTGGAAGGAATATTTCATGGAAAAGTGGATTGCACAAAGAGATATTCGGCTCGACTACACTTGCAGAAGACAGGCGGTGTTCAAGCACCGTGTGTGCACTTACTTTGGATGCTTTCGGGTCATCAGGAGCCAACAACAACTAGCCCGACATTACGATTTGCACAGACGCAAACGGGAAAAAGCCCAATCTGCAATGAGGTGAGCTAGTACCTCCAATTATCTTCGCAAAGTCGAGTCAAAGCAGCAATAAAGGCGGGTGCATTATAGTACTGGTTAGACATTCGGCAATGGAATCTATGTGTAGTTAGAAGGTAATATCAGCCCCGCCGACTCCCCGCAAAAGATCATCGTGTTGGCTTTCCATCACAATTCCACCGGATGAGTTACCTCTCCGCCACCCCCCTCTGCCGCCCCTTCCCCCTCTACCGCCGCGTCCGCGTCCACCGCCACGTCCTCTCCATCCGCCCTTTCTCTTGTAGTTGCTCTTCCTGCTACTCGTTCCTGATTTGCTCCTCGACGCCTTTCTGCCGCGACCGGATGTTGCTTTTCTTCTGCCCCGTGTAGGTTGGCGATCGTAGTATTCGTTGCTTTCGTCCTCTTCCTCTGCCTGTTGCCCACGCTCAAGCCTGTAGCTCCCAGCCCCCACGCCCGAGCCTCCAGCCAGGTCATTTCTCACCGATGGCTGTTGCCAGAAAGGTGTACTGTCGTGGGTGGTTGCAGGTTGCCGGTAGAACACAGTTTCATCGTTTGTTGATTGGATGGGTTTCCTCGCCACTGATGCGGCATGGAACGGATTACTGTTGGAGGCGTCACGAATCCTCCTCCGTTTAGTAGGTTGCCGTTGGTTGCCTTGAGGCATTGTGGATCCGTGTTGCGCCAATCCAGCAGTGGTGCCACCGCTTTGGTTGCGAGCATTGTATACAGCAGCAGGACTTGAACCAAAGTCCGCAGTAGACATCCCTGAGTGCGTTCTTGAACCACCGTGAGGATACCCGATGTCAGTCACTCGTCTTGGACGACTCATGGTGGAAGACGGAGGAAGACCATTATCATCCGAGTAATATTCAATCTCTTCGGTTGCAGTGATTCTACTAGTTGAAAGAGATGCGAAGTGATTGACACCGCGATTTGGCTGTTGTGCACGAATGCCGTGGTGGACTGTAGTGGACGATGCTGCTGGCATCTTGCGGTTGTTGTCTTCGTTATCATCGTCACAGAGATCCACGAGGCCGCCGAAGAATGCCTCATCTTCAAGCTGTTGCATCCCAAATTTGGATAGGTCGCGTTTCTTCGGAGTGTCGCCCTTGCGGCTTTTGTTACCAAAGCAAGGTGATTCCTGCTGGCAGACGCTGCTAGGGTTGTGCACGTCCTCACTGTCAAACACCCTCGCCTCCAATTTTTCAAACTCCAAATCTCTAGCCTCACGCTGGTGGTGCTGCATTCCATGCGTTGAAGCTCTTTGGACTTGGTTGTCGGGTTCTTTGCGTTCAAACGTACCTGCTTTGGGCGGAAATGGAGCATTCGACGCGGTGTGGGCTTGGAATGTGGGTGAAGTGAGCTTTCGCCGATACGGGTTCGTATGTGGTTGGTCCTGCCGTTTGGAAGATGCAGTGTTGTTCCTGTGCACTGGTGCACTTGATCTGTGCTCCGACTCAGCCCTGGCACTGTTTGTTCTTGTATCGTTGCGGGACAGGTTGGAAACAGAAGGCCGATATTGCGTCGTTGTTTGATCAGTGTGATAGCGATGTGAATTAGAAGCATCTGCATGATCTTGGCTCCATGGTTGTACTCCTTGCTGATGATGTGCATGAGACGCACCGGTGGGCAGTGCATGATGCAGCTCCTCCTGTGTCCCTGCCCTAGAGCTGGAGTAGTTTCGGTCCACGCCAATGATGGATGGAACGGATGTCTCTTGACGAGAAAGGACGGTACTACCTTGTAGTTGATCTGCTCTGTGGCTACTAGCCGAAGATGACGAAGAGGAAGAAGAATCACAAGGAGGCAAGACAAACTCTTCCTGATCTTCGCCTTGCGCGAATTCCTGGACATTGTCCATCAGAGTAGATTGTCTTGGCTCCTCTCGTGGAGAATTTCTTGGAGACTGCTGTGTGCTATCCTCCGGTTCTGCCGCAACGGCCACATCCTGGGGTCTCGTTGGGAGGCCTACATTGGACCGCAATTTCAATGCCAACTCGACCGTATCAACAGAATCTTCGTCGTTGTCATTGCTCCCCTCCTTTTGTTGTGGACTGATACAACTTTCTGAACTACTATCCGACTGGTCTGCCAAGCGGCTCGGAGGGGGAGCCTTGTCTTGCTTTCGAATCCCACAGGAGATGTCTTGATTATAATTGCCACCTCCTTCTACTAAAGACAGATCATCTTTGTCGTCCACCCCACCACCACAGTTCTTTCTCTGCGGTGGGTTCAAATCGTCTTCGTCGGATGACATGCCGACCATGGAGGATCCTTCATCATCGTTTGCAGTCTGTCGCAGGGTTGCACACTTTCTTGCCATATGTCGCATGACAGAGGATTCGTGGGAAGTACTCCCTGGCGAATTGAATTGAGGACGCAGTGAGCTGTTGCGAGAGAACCGTTGGCTTCTAGTCGTCTTTGCCGCAGATCTAGAACTGTTTTTTGGTTGAGCCGGTGGCAATCTTGATTTGGGTTGAGCGGGTGGATTGCGTTGTATTGGTTGGGCTGGAGGCTTTCGGTGTTTTGCTGACGCCGCCGTTGGCTGTGATTTCATTGTTGTTGTCACTTTAGGGTGGATGGCGGTTGGTTTTTGCTTCTCACGCCCACTGTCCACCACAGAATCCGAGTCATCACCAGAATCCGAAGAACTTCCAATAGACACATCAATTTTTCCTTTGGCGGGTAGACTTGCAGCTCGTTTGTGGTTGTCAGCAGGTTTCTTCTTGATCGTTGGATCTCGCAGGAGAGAATCGTCCGAATCAGAGTCAGTATCAGATAGGAACTGTTGCTGTTTTGACGTTCTAGCGGATCCGTTTTGCTTTGTGCTTTTCTGACTCCGGATTGATGAACTATGATGAGAGGTACCCCGTCCTTTTTCGGCCGCTTCAGAATCTGATGATTGACATTCTTCCGTAGAGGTTGACGATGATGATGAAGAAGACTTTGCCAAAAGAGAACGTATCCGCTTGCGCTGTGATGTGCTTGTCGCTGTTGCTGTTGTTCCTTTTGCTGCTTTGGCAGTTGTTTTGTTTCTCACGGAAGACACTCGAGTGAGACGAAAGGAACTGGACACACCAGAGCTTGAAGACGATGAAGCAGGAGTCCTCCGCTGCTCTTGTGGTTTCTTTGGAGCCGGTGTCTCAACAGCTTGTTTTGGTGGCGAAACCACTTCTACCTCCGACTCATCGCTGCTTGACTCTTCATCGGAGTCTTCGAGGATTCGGCGTCTCTGCTGTGATGAAGGCATGATGGTGATGGTGTGGTTGTTGGTATTGGGTTTGAGAAAGGAAGGAAGAAGAGAAAGCAAACACGCACAAAGATCGAGCTCGAGAGAAAAGTGAAGGGTAAAGTTGGCGCCAAAACTGAAGACTGTCGCCTGCCTGAAGGCGTGGTGTGGTACAAAATCCCTGTAGAAATTTTACAGATGGAACCCAAACTGCCCCCCCCCCAAGATTGTTGGTAAAATGGTAGGGGGAGCGGACCCACCACTGATCCTCAAGCCCTCAATTTCTACGACAGTACTCAAGGGGGGTCTTGTAGTCAGAACACGGAAAGTAATAATCTTAATTTTATTGATTAATTCTGCCACCACAACAGAAGCGCAACAGCGCCATCCTCGCTCTCTTGTCATTTCTTGGCTTCCATTTTCTGTTGTTATCATTGCTGAGCTCCCACTTCTTCCCTACATTTATTTTACCCATTGCCACAGACAGCTCCCGACGCATAGTGCCTTTCTCCTACCACCGGTAGACAAACAGTATCCAACAGTAGACTTGAGTTCCCTCGTTGCCTTGGATCGATATCGCATTGCTTCGGCTACCCCACTACTACTATTAATACTACCAACAGCATCACGATGGAAAACCTCACAGCCAATGCCATCACCCGAATCTCCGGAATGAACAATTCCGACGAGGACCCATCCTTTAAACCAACACTACAGATCATTAATTTCCGCAAGGTCAATTCGAACAACAATACGGATCGTTATCGGGTAAGGTTGTTGTGTTGGCGTGACATAAGTGGCATCAAGTTTGTAACGAGCTATCTGACCACTCTTCTCTTTGTTTCGTCAGCTAATCATATCAGATGGAACCAAGTTTATTCAAGGGTTGCTTGCCACACAGGCTAACAACTTGATTGAAAATGATACTCTTCAGCAAAATTCCGTCATTTCTCTACAGAAATTTGTCAAAAATGTCGTCTCTGGCCGAAACCTTGTCGTCGTTTTGAACCTGGATATCGTTGGAAGCAATCCTGGACAGCGCATTGGAGAACCAGTGGATATTGCCGGTCAGCCTGGTGGAGGCGCTGAGAATGTCCCACCTCAACAACGCCAACAAGGAGGCATGTATGGAAGGCAACCAACTGCCGTCAAGTCCGAGACGGGAAATGGAAACCGCAGCGGCGGTGCCTTTGGAGGCGGCGCTCGAAGCAACAATCCATATGGCGGATCGCGCAGTAGCAGTGCTCCTATTACCCGTACCACACCCGGAGGAACTGCGGTTACACCCATTGCCAATCTGAACATGTATCAGAGCCGTTGGACCATCCGAGCAAGGATTACCAACAAATCTGACATTCGCACTTGGAGTAATGCTCGCGGGGAAGGATCCCTATTCAGCATTGACCTGCTAGATTCCAGTGGAATGGATATTCGTGCCACAATGTTCAAAGAAGCTGTCGAAAAGTTTTACAATATCCTCGAGGAAGGCAAAGTGTACACTTTCAGTGGAGGTCGAATCAAGGTGGCAAACATGCAATACAACACCTGCAAGAGCAACTTTGAGATCACATTTGATCAGAACAGCGAAATCCATTTGCAGGATGACGGTGGAGATATCAAGAAAAACGTCTACGACTTTGTTCCCTGCATTGCTGACATTGAATCCGTGGAAGCTAACAAAACTATTGATGTTTTGGCTATCGTCAAGTCCGTTGGAGAGCCCGCAAGCTTGATGAGTAAGAAGACCGGCAATGAGCTACACAAGTGCGACTTGACGCTAGTGGATGATTCGGGGGTGGAAATCAACTTGACAATCTGGGGTCAAGAAAAGGCAAATGCAGCACCCCAAACGTACGCCAACAATCCTGTTGTGGCTTTCCGAAGAGCCCGAGTCAGCGATTTTGGAGGAAAGAGTCTCTCGTTGTCCGGTAATTCTTATATCCGCCCCGTAGAGGATGTGCCAGATCAGGTGCAACGTTTGGAGCAGTGGTGGAACAATGGAGGCAGCACCGGAGCTGGTACCAAGAGTTTGAGTTCATCTGGTGGAAGTGGCGGAGCCGTTGCGCCCTTCCACGAGCGCCTGACAGTCTCTGCTATTAAAGGAAAGCACCTGGGGCATGGTGAAAAACCCGATTGGTTGACCTTCAAGGGGACTATTAGTTTTCTCAAGAAAGACAAGGAAGGAGGAGCATGGTACCCGGCTTGTGCAAATGCGGGTGATCCTTGGTAAGTTCAGACAGCCATGATGGTTTTCACCGTTTTTTTGTTTGTTTGCTGCCTTGCAATAGTATGCTCACAATGTTCAATCTGTGTTCGTTAAGCAAAAATATGTACAAGATGACTCAGACAACTGACGGGTGAGTTTGCACACAATTTTTCATCGTCTTTTGTCCATTGAGGTCCAGGATTGGTGCGCAAATGTGATTCGCCCTTTGCTCATATATTTGCTCTGTTCGTTTCTTTTACATTATTTCCAGGTCCTGGTTCTGCGACAAGTGCCAAGGCACTTTTCCTGATCCTGTTCGGCGTTGGATCTTCTCGGGCACAGTGGAGGACGATACTGCTACCACCTGGGTTTCCTTTTTCAATCCACAGGCAGAAACTCTTTTGGAAGGCGCGAAAGCAGACGACGCCTATAAAAATTTCATGGAGCACAACCAAGATCAGGATGGCTACGATAGCCTCTTCTACAAGGCAACGCAGACGGAGTGGATCTTTAAATGCAAGGTTAAGGCAGAGCTCGTGAACGATGAAGAACGTGTCAAGACGACGGTATATGCATTGAAGCCGATGGATTATGTCAAGGAGAGTGAAGATATCCTGGCGGCTTTGGAAAAGATGTAGGATGCCACTGTTCCTCTCGGCTTACTTCACGGTTTGGGAACCGTTCTACCGGTATGCCAGGTTGGGCATTCGAGTTAAAGATTATGTAAAACGCTTTGGTCGCGATTGGTATGGTAGTTAGAGGATAGTAGAGACACATCCAACAGATCCTGTGGCAGTCGATCTGCCACTACTGTTCCACCATTTTGTATTGAGTATCAGTGACACAATGAGCATCAGTGTGAGTCACCGATGATTGCGGCACTTGTTGCCAAATACTGTTTTCGTCTCTACTTGATACTGTACGGTTGGACCGTTTAGCTAAAAGTTATCCACTTCATCGTTCCAGAGCAATAGGTGGCAAAAGAAAGAATCCAGCACTTGGAAAACATCTCTTGCATCATCAAATACGCTCTCTCTGTTGGAGCAAAATAAATAGTGCTTTGTTTCGTAGTTTGCTTTGACGAGAGCAGCGAGGATTGGGTCCAGACCAATCCATCGCTTCTATCTCTTTTGTGTTGTTTGGGGCATTGACAGCATCACACGGATTGCTGTTCTGTTGCGATGGCAAATGCCTAAAAGGCACTGGCCGGTACGATACCTTCGGCCTCGTGAGCCTTGACTGGTCGCATACTTTCATAGGCTCCCAAAGGTCGCCCCATGATCTGCGCCAAACGCTTGCTAGGCTGGCCGTTGTATTGGTGTTGGCGAATCCAAACCTGAGACACGTACTTGGTGTCGACAGCCGGCATGGCGGCATGAAGCGCCATTTTGTCCAAGTATCCATCAATCGTGGCGGGGAAAAAGATGAGAGCCATTCCTTGGCGTGGCTGGACATCCAAGTTCAAGGCGGGAAAACGAGTTGCACCGCCACGAAGAACATCATTGAGGTATATGAGCACAGTGATTGTACGTTGACCGCCATTGGCTGCGAATCGCCGTCCATCTTCATTGCTAGTGTCAAAGGCATCAAAGTGTTGCAAATACTGTTGAGACGGCAAATAGCGACCCACTTGAGGAAGTTCGCAATGTTCAATGGGTTTTCCTGTCAACACCGAGACCTTGCGCATCAAGTCTGGAAGGTCTTCGCGGGAGAGATAGCAAGTGGAGCTGGTACGACTGGGCGACACTTCGCCCGCTCCCTTGCCGACCACAGGAGCAGGCCCAAAGGAGTCGGCTGCCACAGCAACTAGGAACTGACATTCCAGAGGAGTCAAAAAGTTGTCCACGGCAAAGACGGGAGGGTTGGCATTCAACACTCGAAGGCCTGGATACTTTGGATTCACGCCATTGTAAACGGGAGTAGAGCATGGGACATCTTGGACAGTCATGGTTGGCAATGAGAAGCCTGCTGGAGACAGTGCTTGCTGAAGCTGCTGCTGTTGAGGCAATGACAGAGGAATCTGATGAGCAAGGCTTGCAAGGGCTGGGGGTGGAATCAAGGCTGGTTGGTACCCAGGCGTGCCATTCAAGGACGCCGCCAAAGCACCGGCTTGCAGATGCTGTGGGATGAGATTGTGGGTCGTTGCTTGCAACAGCGCCGCAGCCGCCTGCTGTTGAAGCAACAACTGTTGCTGCTGTTGTTGCTGTTGGAGTTGAGCTGCGAGAAGAGGGTTATTAGCAAGGAGAGCTGTAGCTGCAGCTAAGAGTTCGGCATTGGCGCCGTTGGGATTGGGAAACTGTGCAAGTGTCGCTTGGTTAGTCGGGTTCACAGGAGGACCGGCACTGAAAAATTGCGTGGACGTCGGTAGACCTACAGACGCCTGCGTTCCGGGAGAAAATTGATTTTGACCATGACCATTGTTGGCGCTCGTTGCTGCCGCTGGAGGCAAAACCTCTGGATCAGATTTCTTTTCCGCCTCCTCGATGATCATGGTGATGAACTTTTCCTTTGCACACGCAAAACTATGATCCATCACTTCCTTGAGCCGTCTTTGGCCCTTGCAAAACATCAACAAAAGCAACAGCAAGAAGGATAACGAGATAACGAGGTCAGAAGGCATTCGAACAAGGCATGCATCCAATGCGCGCTCGTGGATTGCTTCCTCTCGGCGTTGCCACGTCCGGTGCCTTTCGCGCGGAATACGGTGTTGCACCTGTCACAAAGGGACAAGGAACATGCAGAACACAAACAAAAAACAAGGAAAGTTTTGATTGGTGGAGGTGACTGATGCAAAGATCGGGATCGGATTGGTTGAACGACTGGCCATGGTCGACTTGCTGATGTTCGTGTTAGTGACTGTGCTGCCATAAAAATAGGACCTCTCAGTCAAAAAGCCAGATAGACTAGAAGAACACCACGACAAAGTTAGACTGAGTTTCGTCCTTTTTCTACAGTATGCAGATCTGTGTCATTGGCTGTCGAAGAGACCTGCAAGAGCTCGAGGGGAGAAACTAGTAACTGTACATGTAGCAACATCCCATGCATTTCTATTAATAGCTAGCTAGTTCAACAGCAGCTGGCTGGCACCTATATCCACGGGTTCTAGTTTGTACGCAATGGCGCCGGGGTGAAGGATATCCCAAACCGAGGTCCCTAGAACCAGCCCACTTGGAATCTGGCTAGGCCTTTTTTCTCCATCCCCTTCCAAGTTACCCTTGGGATGGCGGTTGTTCAGGTTCTGGGAGCCGGCTCCCCCAACAATAGCATGCTTTTGGGCCAACTCTTCTGCCTGCTTTTTCGCTGCGCCTGGAACTGCACGGAGAATCAGACTATGCGAACTTACCAGGGCATCTCCATCGTGGCTCATCTCGGCGTCCTTGGGTGGGTTCCGCTTGTGATCAGTTAGCATAAGCTGAGCCAAACCTTGCAAAAGCTCCATGATGGCACACGGCAAAATTGGACCACCCTGAATCTCCAAAGATGCATATTCGTGAGTGTTTTGGTCGCCCTCACCTTCTTGGTTCTGACCAAAATGGGGTGCACCGCTGGTGGTGAGTGTTTTCATTGTCGCATTGGCAAAGGGACCAAGACCCCGGCAAATCAACACTGGTACATCATGTTGTCCCTGCCAGTCCAGCCGTTGGATCGATTCCATATTCTGTGAGGGCACGTTGTCTGCCTTTGCTGTTGTTGACGATGATGATCCTTTTGCATCATCTACAGCCCCGTCGGCTTTGCCACCACCCGCATCTCTCAGAGATGAAATGCAACACGTTGTCCCCAGATTCAGGTAGACTTCAAAAAAGGCGGCACAGTCGTCCCAGCCAGTCACAACAAGAGGGGGCAGAGACCCCAGTGACACCTTTGGCCCAGCAATAGCTTTCGGTTTGATAGAAATTGACACATCTGCTCCTACGGTTTCACCAAATACTTGAGCCCGGCGAAGAGCTGCCAGCTCTGCTTTGACACATGGGCTGGTTGACGAATCCGATGGGGACGTAGTTTTTGAGGGTGTGGGCGCCGAAAGGTTCGATTTGGAGCCGTTACCGCAGTTTGAGTTGCTGGGTGTATCAGTTGATTGAGGGTTGTTCTCTTTGAGTATCTTGTCTGGGAGTATCCCTTGAGAATCGTGTGACTTGGTTTTGCTAGTACCCGCATGTGCCTTTTCCTTCAAAGGAAGCTTTTGTTGCCGAATGATTGCCTCGGTGAACACTGTTCCCCGACAGTGCCCTCTCCATTCTTCCGCAAGTCGAATCGCTTCGACTCCAGATTGATGCAACCACCTCCGAAACATCCGAGAGGATGACGTGAAAACGATTTCTGGCAAGATGTGTCCAGATTTGTACACTCCCCGAAACAGAACTGAATGGTCCGTGCCACGAGAATAGAAATAGGAATAGTCGACGCGGTCTTCTTCAACCTTCCGCAGTTGAGAAATCCATTTCCGATACAAAGACGCAAACGATTGCTGCCAATCCAGTCTTCGTTGTCGAGTAAAGAGGGCTTTCTGGCGCTGCAACGTCGACAGTGAGGACTTGGTCTGGACCGGGACGGCAAAGTTGCTCGTCTCCGCAATAGGTTTGGTGTCTGCTAGATCCAGGGTTGCCCTTCTTTTCTTTTTGCCGTGTTTGGACAATTGCTTTTGCCGTAGTATCTTGTCACCTTCCGCGGTTGTTGTACCTTCTTTCTTTTTGTTTGCGTCTGTCATCATTTTAGATTTCAATGCTGACTCGTCGGAGACGAATGGTGATGGATAGACGGCAGGATGCTGCCAATACAGCAACCCTGCTTCCCACTGTGCAAGACCGTCATTGCTGGCATTGGTAACGCTTGTTAATGGCTGTAGGAATTTCAACAGACCGGGGCCAGACCCAACGTTGGTTTGGAGTATTGGATTCACAATATACCCCGGATGAAAGTCGAAGCGTATTGAATCTGGAAGTGACCAATCCATGACTCCATGGTCCAATGACGCATTGTGCCAGTCAATATGGTTGCTGCTGTGAGAGGATGGACTCTTGCTCTTCTCAGGCGATGGGTTGTTGTTGCTAAAGGGACTTCCAAAATTGTTGACAAAATCCAGCAATTGGAATCCTCCCGGAGTACCAAATGATTCTTTGGATCTATTGGAAGGAGAAAACAAAGATCCCTTTCGAGCAAGAGGAGTAGTGGTGGCCATTGCATTATTTGTAGTTGTGCTCTTCAATGGTGTGGAACTGTTCATGTGACCACCCACTTGTTGCATCACTGACCCGAAAAGTGACGTCCGGCCAGATGCTTTGGGAGTGGAAGAGTGGTTTACAGTTGTACATGTAGTATTGCAAAGTGTGTCTTCAGCAGGAATAGTAGCAGCCGAATGGTTGGTCATTATTTCATCTTGTGTGTTGGCAGCAGCATTCATTGCGGATGCAGTGAATAGCGACCGCGACGATGACAGCGTTGTTGATTCTTCCTCGTCATCCATGTAGGCAGATTCCCTACGACGCTTCTTGGATTCTAGATTCTTTCGCTTCCGTTTCTGCCAGGGACCAGCGGAAGACGAGTGCTGTGGCATAGAAGACAGCGAAAAAGAGGACGCCTCGTCATTGCCGTTGTTTTGTCGCAAAGAAAGATCATCAAAGAGCGAACCACGTCGCCTCAGTCCCCTGTTTGTGGAGGTGTTTGTGTCGAGAAGACGCGAAAATGATGAACTGGGCCCTGTACTGCCGTTCATTCTACTACCGGTAGCAGAAGTGTCATTGGTGGTACGTGCAGAATTGTTGTTGTCGTTGCTCTCAGAGGCCGACATGTTACCAGTTGTAGAACGAAGTCACCTGATAAAAATGAGAGAATAGATAGCAGTGCAGCAATGTCAACGTGTAATGGCAGCCTACTAGTACTATTATGTCTCGGTTACTCTCAACAAGGATACATGAATTCCTTCATCAGGAACCGCATCGTCCATGTTTTTGGCGGACGATGCAATACGGTTCGTGTGAGGGAAGCATGAGCCAGCTTAGGCTGTCTGGTTTTTTCACATTTCGACGGCTTTCTTATCCTTGGTGTCGCGACCCAACAAAGATCCTGCCGGAGGCTCCAATCACAGCTTGGCAAGCTAGCTACAGTAGAGTGTAATAAGGCATGCCTAGCTAGATACCAATAATCTATGGTCTACGGGTAGCTACCGGTAGCTAGTAGCTACGGTGGATTAGCTAGGCCCCGATCTACTTCCATGAGGAGCCAAGCAGGAGGAACCCTGGAATGTATCAAAAAACAGCCAATGGTTCCAAGGGTGCATTTCTAGGAGTTTGTAATGCTGCCGGTTGTGCAATGAATTCATTCTAAGCAAGGCATGCAGGCAAGAAGAATGATCCGGGGAGAATGTGCGTTTCTGCTCGCTCTAGCTAGCTACCGTAGGTCAACTACACAACTTATCTATGGAGGAAGCAAGGAGTCGACAAGCAACAGGCAGAGCAACAAGTGCAGCGGAAAAGGCATCATCTTGGGAGGACCCCGATGTAGAGCCACTGCAGGTTTCTTGCACGAGCAGGTTAAAGCTCCGCATTGGCTTTAGTTTGGACTGCATGCATACAAGTAACTGTGAACGACTGTACTCGTACCATACCGATTGTTTGTGTCAATGGTGTTGATCCAGGCTGGAGCCTAGTGAAGAATTGTTAGTTAAAGTTTGTTATTAACAATTATGAGCTGCTAGAATCTAGGTGGATGTCCCATACTGGATCACACAGGCCCAGCTGGGGAGTGCCAACTCTAACAGTCTCTAACGGTATTGTAACCCTACTTGTCATTGGGCAAGCAGGGTGAGCATCTAGTGGGCTTGCTGACATCATTATGGTGGTAGGGATCTGGTACAGGACTAAAAGACTTAAGGGTCCTTAGTGCCAGATCAACACACCCTCACACTATCATGATGTTGTTGCTGTTGTCGATGTTGGTGCTTGCTTGTTGTCGAGTAAGTACTTAGATCGTTCTGCTTTATGATGCGACGCTGGATGGTGCTTCGTGAAGTAGTCTCCTCTATTGGTGATTCCAGGGCGCCAGTAGATGGTGAATTGCCCTTGTTCAATTCGGTCTTTGAGCCAATAGAATCGCATGTCGATGGCCTTGGATCTCTTTTGCTTGACAGTGCCAGTGAGAATTCCTTCTGCGCACTTGTTGTCAGTTCGGATGGGAGTGGCTGGTTGTGGATGCCCCATTTCGATAAGCGTTTGTCGCATTGGGCATGCTTCCTGTGCATTGTTGAATGCTGCTCCTACTTCTGCCTCTGCAGCTGAGCTGAGTACATTCTTCATGATCTTCACGACCACGTGCAGGGGTCCATTATCAGGTGCATTGTCGATGCTGCCGTTGCTGAGGAACATGTATCCTCCTGCCCTTGACCTTGCTTTTGGTGCTGAGAGGTAGGATGCGTCCGAGTGCAGGTGCAGTATCATGTCGCTTCGCTTGTACCGTAATATGGCATCTGGGTGGGTGGCAGCGTAGTTGAGTAGCATCACTGTTGCCTCCATTGTTTTCTCTGTTCCGTTTGTCTGCTCGGCAGCGATGTCTCCTAGTGCCATGAGCATCGTGCAGTCGACTGCCCGGGCATAATAGAGTAGCACACCTACAACTTCTTGGATGTGCTTGATACCGGACGGTGGGAGTGGTTTTGTTTTGTCCTCGGGTTCGGTATATTGGACCGGTTGGCCGTATTGTGGGACGTTCCATTTGTGGGGAGCGTGTTGTGGGGCTGTTGTTTGCGTATGGTTGAATCGCTGTAAAGCCCTTTTGACATATCCTGGCATGGACAGGTCCACTGTTCCGTTCTCGTAGTTCCAGTTAAGGTGGATGCCACAGTATAGTTCTCCTTTCCAGTCAGTGGTGATCTTGTATGCCTTCGCGAGAGTGTCGATTAGGTGCATGGCATTTTCTTTGCCTACGTATTTGACTCCAAAGTCGTCTACTACTAGTGTAAAGGCGACTGGGCGTTCTTTGTGCTTGAATAGTCCGTGGACGTGCTTTGACTGTTGATATCCGGCTGTTGCGAGGTAGTCTACGAGTGCATCATTCGCAATGCGACCGGCTTGTGGTAAACCATACATTCCTCGGATGATTTCCACCATTACGTATCCGTTGTGGACGAGATGGTGTAGGTTGTATTGGTCCATGATTTCATCGGGGATGCAATCCCTGGGGATTCTCATGTACTCTGGTCGCTCCATTGGTGTCATGAGGTAAAAGTCCTTGATGTCGACACACATGAAGCGGGCGTCTTCAGTAGAAATGACACTGTTTAGGTGCATCTTGACTGTGCTTAGTGACGCTGTTTTGGTGCTTACGTCGAATGGGTATTCGATCCTGTCTCCTCCTACTGTGAAGCGGACTCGTCTGACCTCAGCTTTCTGTGGTCGGTCGTCGCATACTACTCGAAGGTATGTGGGCTTTCTTCCTGCCGGTACATCGGTGTGCTTGATAAAGCGGATTGTTTCGGTTCCTTTGAGACCGGTCGATTTGCGACCTTGTGCCAAGCGTCCTATTTCATTGCAGCATGCACTGATCCAGTGTTCACCGTCCGTAGAGTGCTTCAGGACCTTGTAATCCGATAACACGCCTGTGTCCGGATTCACGGCCTTGTTCGCTTGCTCCCTTGGTGGTGGATTCGCACTTGCGTTCGGCGGGGTTGGTGCCGGCTTTGTTTTCTTTTGTTGGCGTTTTTTGTGCTTGGTTGCTGTTTGGTATGTGGGTGTGCTTGCATCCACCCTCAGAACTGCGTCATCCGGTGGATTCGTGTCTGGTTTGTGTGGCATGGAAGGTGTTGCTTGGGGCGTAAGCTGCTGGTGTAGTCGTTTGTCGAAGATTTCTGCCAGCTCCAACAGTGTTCGTGCCTCACTGTCGGTGAGTGATTGGCTTGTTGGTGTTGTGTTTGGAAGCGTGAGCGCTGTGGCTATATCTTTAATTCCGCCGATGGCTATGTCCAAAGGTGTTGGTAGTGGGCTCTGAAGCCTTTCTGGGAACCATGACAACGTGTCTGCCTTTCGTTCTCTTTGAGTGTCCCATATCCAGGTTCGAAAACATCTGTATGCCTCCAGTTCTGGACCAATATACCATCCATCTTTGCCTTTTGGTGCCCACGATGGCCTCTCATGTGGTTTTTCGTGTACTACAACATGCATTCCTGGTGGTGCGATTGGTGTGGCTGTGAAGTCGAACTGTCCAAAAACTTGTGCATGTGCCGACAATGCTGGGTTGATGCGTGATCCTCTCAATAGGTTGAGTGTGATGGTGCACTGTGGGATGAGCTTATCCCACAAATGTAGTGGGAAGTTTGTGTCGGTTGTGCAGAGTCCTGCAATGAGGTGGCTCTTATAGGTTTGGATTGCTCTTTCTGCCGCGTTTCGACGATGGATTCCCGCTGGTGTCGTTTGAAGGTTGATACCAGCGTTATGGATGTGGTCGCGGAGTAACTGTGAGCATTCATTGTCCATCATGTGTAGTTTCGGCCTCAATCCCGCTCTAACTAGTTGATTGTGGATTTTGGTCCAAGCTGCGACATGCGACTTTGCCGATCTGTTTGGCATTGGTTCTGCATGGATGGAATTGCTATCGTAGTGGTAAAGGATGAACAGGTAGTTGTTGCCTGTGCTGGATGGTATGAAGAACCTTCCTGTTTGGTCGGAGAACGATTTGCCTGTTGGTTGGATGACGGCTGAGTAGCATGCGTGTGCTACATTCTCGTCGTGTTCTTCGTGTTGGGTCGGAAATGTGTTGTCGTCCGTCGGTGATTGGCTGTCTTGTTCCGGCAACAACGGAAGTTGTTCTGGTTCTGTTTTGGTGGATCGTAGCCCTTGTCGCTGTTGGTTCATGTGCCCTTTTGCGGTTGCGATTGAATGGGGTGTGTACCTGTTGAATGAGTCCGGCGTTAGGCCTGGCATATTGTGGATGTATTTCTTCTTGAGTGCTTCCTTTAGAGTGGATGGCACTGGTGAGAACAGGCTCGCATGTGCGAATGCAACCAGATCAGCTGTGGTCGCATTGGGTGTTGTGGCCATCAAATTGGCTGTGTGGTTTTGTGGTTGCTGTATGTTCAGTTCCCACAGTTGGTTGGTGGCTGGGTTTCGTTCGCCTGTGAGGATTACATCTCCCATGAAGGTGATGAGGCATTCGTGTGCTCGAAATGTTGCTTCGCATCCGGCATCGCATAGTTTGCCTATTGAGAGAAGGGATGTTGATCCGAGTGTTGGGAATAGATGCGCTCTTGTTGCATCTTTTGGAAGATTTGGTATGTCTAATTGACAGGTATGTGTTGACTCTATGATTGAGTTATCTGGAAGGGTGACTCGAATCGGGTTCGTGCTTGGTTGGATGTTGACGATTTGTTCGTTGTTTATGGCTATAAAGTCCGTGGATAGGTAGTGTCCTGTGCTGCCGGTGTCTGCGACAATTGGTGGACTTGTTGCCTTTGTTTTTTCGTTATCTATTGGTTGCGGGGGACCATTCTCTTTGTCAATTGGTAAAGATTCCTTTTTTATAAGTGGTTCTTTAAAAGCTACATTCATTTTTGGTTTACTTTGTTTGTTTATTGGTGTGAGTGGCTCCCGTCGTTCTCATCCTTGGGCTGGAGGAGGTTGGTTTTCGTCATTGTTCTGGCGAGCTGGGCGTCTGTAGACGGCCTTTTCTCCAGCGCGGCGGCGGATGATGCAACATCCGCCATGCATGTTGTCGCCATTGGCATCTGCTCGATGACCAGGCTGTTTTTTGCTGCAGGTGGCACTTGTGTGTTTCTCATTGGTGCTCAATCCGTGAGACCAGCAATAATACATTGGTGTTCCGCCTACGTTGACGCTTGGGGTAGCATTGGTGTTGTTCTTTTCGATCGCCTTGTTGGCAAATCCCATTTCCTTGGTGGTTAGGATTCGACGGCGTTCCTTGTCGGCAGCGTTGAAGTGACGTTCCATGTGGGTGAATTCTTGTTCCTCCATTTCCTTCTGCCTCCATTCGCGGAGAGCATTGGTGAATACACCGCTGTTTTCGAGGTTGTCGATTGCTGCACGTACTGCGTGTTTGTCCGTGATTGGGTCATGGTCGGCCGCAAATTTTTGTGCGTCCTTCACTTGATTGTAGAGGTCTTCGATTGGCTGAGTGGGGCTCCATTCGGCCGTCATTCGTTTCATGTTGTCGCTGAGGTCTTGTGGGCCTACTGTTCCATAGGTTCTATCTAGATGGTTGAGCATGGAAAGGACCGTGACTTGTGCGTACCCATACATGTCATGTTTGAGTGTCTTGATGAATGTGTCTGGCACTGCTTCGATGAGTTGTTTCTTGAGTGCGGTTTCAGTGGCTCTGTAGATAAGGAATTTTGTCTCATTGGCTGCATAGACTCTGTTGGTTTCAGTGATTTGGGGGCCTGTAGGTGCCACTCCATGGACGGGTGCTTCTCCAGGGTGGAGTGGATTGACCCACGGGATGGTGTTGGGTAAGTCGTTATACTTGATTGGGGGGAGGACAAGTCCTAGGTGGCCGTAGTGTCCTCCTCCGAGAGTGGAATTGATGGCCATGGCGTTGTCATTGAGCTCTTGGTGGATGGTTTTCAAGCTATTGTAGGTAGGCTTTTCATCGGGTGGGATGGCTGTCAATGTTGCCTTGGCAAAATGATCAATGGCGACGAAGGACGACATTGTCGGTTGGTTGGGGTGGACGGCAACTCGGAGCGAAAGCTTTGGTTGTTGCTCTCACTGTTGGCGGTGAGAGTTCGTCGGTTCAGTTAGATTGTTAATAACTGTTGATCCAGGCTGGAGCCTAGTGAAGAATTGTTAGTTAAAGTTTGTTATTAACAATTATGAGCTGCTAGAATCTAGGTGGATGTCCCATACTGGATCACACAGGCCCAGCTGGGGAGTGCCAACTCTAACAGTCTCTAACGGTATTGTAACCCTACTTGTCATTGGGCAAGCAGGGTGAGCATCTAGTGGGCTTGCTGACATCATTATGGTGGTAGGGATCTGGTACAGGACTAAAAGACTTAAGGGTCCTTAGTGCCAGATCAACAAATGGAACAGTGTAATTTAGGCGTGACATCGGTTCCCGTCGCCGAAATCATCTTGTCTCGGAACCGGGACCTACGGGCTTGCGTCGATGCCGGTGAGAGGAGAAAGCCCCTGGCGGCTTCGCGATGGATGACTGCACGATCGCAAGCACTGGCAAGAACCTCATCTTATTCCTTCATTTCCATTCTCCATTAACCACTATAGAAACGACTTGCCACTCACATACTCTGTGGATCAATCAACACTTGCTTACTGCAGCAAGGAAACAGCCAAGGAACACAAAGTCTCTGTAGTGGATTGTAGTTCCTCCAGCTAGCCGTTTGCTGATCCTCCTGTAGACGTGGAAATTGAATTAATTCTTCCGTGCGTACATCACGGAAATTTTGAAGACATCAATCAATCAATCAATCAACGCAGCCCAACAATCTCACCATGACGACAACCAACTTTGCATACTGCCTCTGGCTCGTTCTCGGGATCATTACGATGATGAATGTTACACTAGTGTCAGCCACAGTGATGTACGGTGGTTATACCTTTGAAAGCATGCCCTCTCATTTTGGAAGAACATGGTTTCCACCTGGCAGGAACTTTCCAGCACGGCTTCAATTCTTGCATGGGAATGGCAGTAGACTGTGCCATGGCATGGCAAATGAGACGGAATTGGCGCTTCCAGGGCTTGTAATTCCACCGGATAATTCTCCTGGTACGTCAGTTGCTCCTGAGAGTGGTGGAAATCACTTTGCTCGCTCTCAGCTGACTAATCGAATCTCTTGCCTTTTTCTTTCTCGTAGTTGCCCTACTGGTGGAAAGAGGAGACTGCAGCTTTCAAGATAAAGCTAATATGGCCATGAAGGCATTTCCGGCCGTCCGCTACATGGTGGTCTACGATAATGTCCAATCGAACAATTTGGTCTCGATGAGGGAGTCCTCTTCTGCCGACAACATCACGTTGGGGATGCTCTTTGTGTCCTATCGCGCTGGGATGGGTACGTGATTCGATTCTGCTAGTCTATTGGAACTGCCTGTCGATTGTTTCCATGTGTTGTCGCTTACATCCATCTCATGCTCACCGGCTTGAACTTTCAATCCAGCTCTGAGGTCTGTAATAGATAATCAGACAGACGCGGTGACACGGGCGGGTGGCCCCATGGTGAAACTCAACGGGTTGGATCCACTCATGCTCCATGAGCCGTCATTGCAGGACTTGCAAACTTGGATTCTGATTGCCATGTCAGGATTCTTCTGCTTCATTGTCGTGTTTGGCTGTATTTTGGTGTTTGTGCAGCTAGGGGTCATCCCGGTGAACGGATCGGGTCAAATCATCTTGACGCAAGAAGCCATTCGGCGTTCGAGACGCCTGCTCTCGAGAGAGGAGGTAGAGAGATTGCAGGTGGGCGGGGACTTACACGACAAAGTTGCTGCATCCACTACTTCCAAACATGAAGTAGAAACGCAACTCTCCGCAGAATCCGGCTCTGCTAGTTTGCAGGATGAGGGGATAAACACAACAATCGTCAATTCGGAGGAGGACGCTGTGACGGTCGTTCCTGCGCCTCCTCTGGATCCGGAAGAAGAACATACCTGTGCCGTGTGCTTGGATGACTTGATGCCGAGTCCTGCTGACGGCGAAGAAGCCGCCAATCTGCTTTGTCTACCTTGTGGGCACAAATTTCATTCGAACTGCATCGTACCTTGGATGACAGAGCGACACGCAAGCTGCCCGCTCTGTAAGTTTGATGTTTTGCAGTTCATCATGGATCTTGATGAGAAATCATCCCCAAAGAGGTCCAGCAGAGTTGGTGCGTCTCTTTCATGGTGCAAAGAGCGAGCCAGAAGGATGATGAGGGTCGGTTGGTCTCCCGTGCAAAGCAACGACAGCCAAGCAGGGAGCTCCACGTCTGGATCTGATGACGAGGGCGAAGGCAACGAAAGTGGCAATGAAACCACTACACATATATGATCTCAGGAGGATCGTTAACGGTGGTGGGTAAAAGGCTCAAAACCATGTAACTCTAAATGAATACTGATAGATTTTCTGTAGTCGGCGACTTTCCTGGAACCCATTTACGATTGATCATTCTGCATGAAGGATCTGCACCTCCCTAGTTATCTGTCCACCTCCTTCTTCTTGCTGCCATTCTTCCGATCTTTCTCTCTTCAACCCACACGAAACAGCTCCACCTCTTCGTTCGTTGTCATTCTTCCGATCTTTTTTCTGTCGCTCAAGAATATGTCCAACTCCTTCTTGCTTTCCCCTCTTCCAACCTTGTCGTGCCTCCTGAGTCACCCTCACTTGATCCTTCTACGAATCTCGTAGGCAACCGCCATTACTCGAATTTCTTCATCCGACATGTAGCACTCACTGTCGTCCGCGTCAAATAGAACGTAGGATGGCCCCATGGTACCAACCGCCACTACGGTTCCATCCCACCAGCTGTGTTTTCGAAAACGATAAGGTTGCGTTGGTCGATTTGT